ATTGTGTCTAGTGATAGTGTCTCGGCGTTCAACGACTTAAAAGTTTATCATCCAGTCAAAATTCAGAATCAATTTTCCAAACATAAATGTGTAGTAAGGAAGTATAATAAAAGACATTTTGTAGTGATTTTGGAGAGTTTCCCACAAGTTCCCATACCTATGTCTATTTCTATCGATATTTTGGAAGAATGTTATAGTGAAAATTGACTCACTCATTGCGGGCAAAATAATGCGTTTCATTAAATGTATGTATGACATAGAACTTGTAATGTGCTGTCCTTATCAACAAATGTCGAGCAAAAAAAAAATTAAAATATCGTCCATGTCAGTACTTCTCTGGTACATAGAAGATATAACGTAAAACAATAAAAAAGCTTTTTAAAGGTTCGTCCAATAATTATTGGCCAAGTCGATAAGCCGATGACCTGATAAAGGTAGCGGGAAGGCGCTGGATGCAGGCCGCTACCAACCGTGCGATGTGGAAGTCATTGGGGAAGGCCTATGTTCAGCAGTGGACGTCCTGTGGCTGAAATGATGATGATGATGATGATGAAGTTTTTTTATTTAACTTCACCCACTTTTTACCTCCCATAAATGGTCTGACTTCCCTTTAAATAAAATAAACCATAATATATTCCAGTTGTCCAAGGGGGTAGCTACGGGGCAATGCGGGACAGTGCCCCGGGGCCCCCAAGCTAAGGGGGGCCCCCAATTCTTACCAGAAAATCTCAATTGAACTGAACTTTGAAAATTTCTCCCATTTTCAAAATAAATAGAGAGAAATTCGAAAGCTTTATCAGGAGTAAGTAAGCATAATGACACTAAACTTGATAAAACCTTCAGGGCTTACTTTTGAGTATCATTAATGTAAATTAAAAGTAGAGATCATTTTAACTGTTTTTTTTTTTATAATAAAGTAAAATAAATAAAAAATAAAATACTAGGTTTCTGCCTGAAATAATGTGGCGATAGTATTTTTCTCCATTTGAAAATTGAAAACTGCGCGGTCTTTGCTAAGTAATAGAGGCTAAATACCTCTATTTTTGCAACAACATATAAATTGTAATGTGACATGCAATAAACGTTTTGAATTTGAATTTGTTAACACGGTGCGTTCCTAGATTTTTTGTATTTTTCCCAATAGTGTGTTAAATAATAAAAGCGGTTGTTCCTTTGTTTCATTCTACCCCAATTTTCTCACCCCCCATACTTATTCAAAAATGTTTTCATGTTACCACCTCTTCAAACTGAAGCGGGTCCTGACTCCTGTTGAGTTTGTTGGATAGTCACATCATCATAACGAATGTTTCAGTCTCTGGACTCTACATAATTTATCTCCGACATCCCAAGATACGATCATGAATGAGATCGTCACGCGTACACGGTCAAGTTGTGGAGACGCTCCGTAGGTTAAGAAGACACGATCATTTTTGTTTTTGCATTTCAAAAAAACGTAGGTAATTTATATTGACAACCTTTGGGTCTTTGTGATGAACCATCACTTGCGACGATTGGTTACGACCTAGTGTTGCTTTTATAAATTTGTAATTAATACCACTATCGTCCCCGGCTATTGTTGATATTTTATTTCCAGCTAAACATACCCCAAACGATGAAAATTATCAGCAAAAAACAAGATAATTTGCTGTAAAAACTACAGCTATACTTTATCAGGTCACAGCCTCACAGGTATGACTTTCAAAGTTAGTCTATAAATTTCAATAACTACGTTTTCTCGTCTCGCAGTACACTAGAGAAGTGAAATATGAAATCAACTGAACAATTTTAAAAAGTTCAAAATATGAAATATAAACAATTTACCGCAACTTACCCTTCTTACCCTTTCGACTTTAACAATATTATTCATTTAAGTCTTCCTTGCAGAAACATGAGAATGAAATGGTTCTGATTTTAAACAGGTGATTTATCTTCTGATGGTATCGCCAAAGCTGTTAAGGATAATGAAAGATGAAGAATAAACTAATAAATTAGTAAAAAAATTTAATGAATATTATTTTTTATTAAAAAATATTTATCGATTATGCTTTTCGAAATAAAAACCACACAATTTGACAGGACTGGGGTCAAATATGTGGTAATATTAGTTAAAGAAGTTTCCTAATTTTCCCCAATTTGATAAAGATTTCTAAAATCCCTTTAATTCCCTTTGAATTTGAATTGAATTCCCTTAAATCTTTGAAATTAATAAAAAAAAATTGCGTTTACTTAATATTTAATATTCAGTGGTATTTCAACGGTGGTCATCAATTGGTGAAGGCAGGATTTTGCCATAATTTATTATGTTAAAAATGTGAAAAGGTCAAGTCCACGGTAATACATATTGTCACTAATGTGCCTGTGTTTATATTTCTGAACATATGATAAGTCTTTTTGCTCGTAATTTTTATCCTAAGATTGACCACCGATCCACACACGCCAATGCCTTGTAACAAAGCAGCACTTTGTTTAAAACAGTTTTAAAATAATGAGTACACATCCACATATTTATTGTGAACGATGTTTGATCTTTTACAAAATGTTATGAAATCAATTTGTGAGTAGTATGAACTACTTTTATTTTTCAAGTTCTTTTAAAAATGAATCTTATTCATAAATTAACATACCGATTTGGAGCCGTTGATAACATTTAATTGGAATCGTGTATGAAGTGACTATAAATGGTGTTTCTACTTATATTTATCGTTATTCAGTCAAAACAGAATTACCTTTAAGTGTAGTGCAGAAAAGCTTNAAAAGCTTCTATTGTCTTGGCCAAATAACGCATATAATGTATAGGTAGTACATCATTTGTAGTCGCACCATATCAGCCCATCCATCAGTCCTCTGCTGGTCGTAGGCCTCTTCCAAGACAATTCATCGCCTCCCATCTTCAGTATTCCATAATCCTCAGTATACTTTATACTGATGCAACTATTCTCTCTCGTACCCACCGCTGCAACTCCTGTGTAGCCAGGATCTACAGCTTGACTCCCATTAAAACCCAACCAGTGAAGGTCAAGTTTGTCCCAGGGGAAAGTTAAACCGTCATTGGACCCGCAACGAAATTAATAATCAGAAGAACATAGGAGGAGTTCGAAATTAAGTTTCCACTTCCCTCCAGTGCAAAGCGGATGACAGGTGACAAAACAAAGGCATAAGTAACCTTTAAGAAAATATATACACCACGGACAGTAAGTATCAATTGTGGGAACCAATCTTGCGAGCTACGTGTCAATAATATTTTTCATAGAATCGCTTAAAAATGTTCCTTGTACGTATGTAGTACAGTTGTAGATGTATAAGACTGAACACAATTTGGAAAACCTGAAAGTACGTGCATACAACACGAGTCATGCTGAAATTCATCTGATCTAAGTAGAAGGAATGACAGTCGTCGTAGTTGAGAAGTTAATATATCTGGGATCAGACTATAAAGCCGAATGACGGAGTCAACCAATTCTCACAGAAGTCGGTATCACTGTCTTTTAGTCCACGGTCTTATAATCCACAAAGTTTTCCGTTCCACCGTTTGTAAAATTCTGAGGTTGTCTATAATCATAAAATCTCCATCGGTGTTATCTGAAAGAAACTGGACCAACTAATAATATGTGCTTTCCACATCTCACTAACAAAAGTGGTAAGTTCCCGTAGAAGAAACCCAGCAAGCATTCAATAATAAAATAAAATAAACCAAGTGCTCTGCGAACCAATTAGGTTTAATCTAGGCGAATTTATCTTTTGAGCAATATTTCGAAACTCAAATTATAATCCTTTGGATTTATGAACACAGCACTGAAGTGAGAAATCCAGCGACTAGTTTTTAAAAAAAGTCATAAGAATTAGTTAAATAAATACTAAATATTATTACCAAAAAGACGCTTATTATTTAGAGTACAATAATAATGTAGCTAAATGCTAGGTCTTACCGTCAGATAATTTAGCCACTATAAATGAGGAATTTCCCTATTCCCCAGGATGGTATCCATCACGTGCGCGCGCCCAGTGCGACGTTGGTCTAGGGGTGTAAGAAAGAAAGTCTTTGTCTGGATTCTCATAGTTCTTCCCACTAAGTAGTGACCATGCCTCATCCTTCTGACGATGGGAGCCCCATATAAACTACCCCACCCTCTCTCCACAGGGTTTCATGCATTTTCCCTCCAAACAAAACCAAAAGAGGTGTATGATATGTAGCGCTAAAGACTATGTGCGTCTTACCGCCAGATAATTTCCCCGGGGGATTTCCCCATTCCCCAGGATAAATGATACCCATCACGTGAGCCAAGTGCGGCGCTGGTCTAGGGGTGTAATATAACTGTAGTAGTTGAAGTCTTTGTCTGGATTCCCATAGTTCTTCCCACTAAGTAGTGGGCATGCCTCATCCTTCTGCTGATGAGCGGAGCCCCACATACATAACCTACCCTGTCCCCACAGGGTTTTATGCATCTTTCCCCCAAACAAAAAACAAAAGGGGTGTAAGATATGAGCGTACGGTCAGATCGAACCGTTCCTTCTGTATGGAATGATGGATGCTTGTAATTAATGCAACAAAAAAAAAGGTCAGAATTTTCATCCACCCATTCACGATCTTAGTTAATGTGTTAATTTTAGTAACCACTTGTTAGCATTTTAGTACTGTAGTTACTGTAGTAAGCAATCAATAGCTCCAGTGGAACAAACAGGCAATAAATATACCATTAATGGTGAAAGAAAAAGTTAAGTGATGTGACAAAAAAATTAGGTGACTTTCAGTATCGTCAAATGGTCGTCGTAATATAGTTTTTTTTAAACCTACATCATATAGCATACAGTAAACATCCAGACCGTAAATAGGGAAACGAATCGGGAAACCAAGCTTACTTCTATTGAGAAGCGGTTAAAGTATACGAATGAAAAATAACTATTTTCGTATTAACCTGTTTGTTGAAGCCACTAATTTATCTTGAATCTGAGATTATTTTAGAAGTGATGATTCATAGGAGTTTATAATGAAAACATTTCAGATTGATACTATGTGTAATCTTAATTTATTTATAAAAAAGACAAATTACGAAATATTTATAAGTGTTGCCACACTTTACTACACTCTTTACAATTACAATACATAATCTTTTAAAAAAATATTGCGCAATAACTTACAGATCAACCAACTCAAATATACAAAGAGAATCGTTCTACGAACAGAGAATTGTTCGTAACGCATGTTTGTGTATTAATTTTAAAGAATAAGAATAAGAATTTATTTAAAGTCTGCGGTGCCACAAAATAGTTAAAACGGCGATATTTACTATCAATAATATTAATAAGAAGGATACTATAATAACTACCGTTTAAAGCATGAGAGTTTATTTATGATGTGGTTTAAATGTTCGTACGACGAAGTAACCAGCCATAAAGATATTTTTTTCTTATTATTTACTTTAACCAATGTCCGTTCACAGACTCTGAAAGAATATTCTGTCTTCAGTCTAGTTCCAGAAAACTTTTGGGAATCATACAGTAGTTAACTACTTAGTCAAGTCCTACATGGAGTGACGGATAAAAATTAAGCAAAATCGTGGGTATAACTTTCGACGATTTCAATTTGTGCATGATCCTTAACGACGTTTCTCAGAAACCCATAATATAAATAAATTGATAATAAATCCGTGTTAGCCCCGCATATTTATACTGATGAAATAAACATACTGGTCAATTGGTATTTCTTCGTCGTACGTCAAAATTATCAAAGTACCTACTTATCTTGGCAATATTAAAATCAATTGTGACAAAAAAGAACAAAAACCACATTTCAAACTAATACTTTAATATAAATTATAATTTCATTTAAGTAATGAAGTCTCATATTTTAAAAATATGTCCTAGATTGTGGTGGTTTTTTCCTATTTTAGTGACAATAAATCTATCGTAATGTAAATTATTATCTTACAACTATTTTATTTATTATTTACTTCTAATATTATAATTATAAAAGGGCAAATGCCGTAATTTAATTACTCGCCATCAATTAGATCCGTTATAAGAATACAAACCTATAATACATAATGTGTAACGACAGAAATAAATACAAATAAGACAAAATCTGAATTTGTTAGAAGAAAATGTCCAGAAAACTATTTCCCCAAGTCATAAGAGTAATATTTTTAAAGTCAGGATTTCTTGAATATGGTTAAAATAACTAAGTTTATTATGTTATTATTAACTTAATCATTATTTAAAATATATTTTTTATGCAATTACTTACCTAGCCCAAATTTAGGATATTCTACTGTCGCGACTAGATACGAATCAAGATACTAAGATTGCTTATGAAATACGACCGGTTATGTAAAAATTATAGTGCCAACGATAAAAAATAATATTTAGTATATTATTTTTGAAATCTTTCCTACGAAGCAAGGATAATTGAGGTCGAACTTCACTTAGAGTAAGTTCGTTTGATCAGGTTTTTAGACTTTAGGAGGCAAACTTTGAAACCACGGCATGATATGCCCATGGCATAAATCTATAATTAATTTCTCAGTAAAAAAACTCATTGAAGTATGAACATTATTATGTTAAGTTACTTTAAACCTGAAATTGTAGCAAATTGAACTTGTGATTTTTCGCGTAGTTTTCTGGACCACTAATATAAATATTTGTGATAAAACGTAACAAAACGACTGCACTCAAAAGCATTTAGAAACCTAATCAATGGCTTAGCAAATAATATGGGGGTTAATTTGATCTGGAACCAACAGGCCTCAGAAGCCGTAACGTTTAGAATCGACGGCGTTTGTTAGGGTAATCGTCCATTTGTCGCGGTCCGTCCCAGCCGCGGTTCTGGTCGTCAAACCCTCCTCGTGGCATGTCGAACTGGTCTCTGAAGCCTCCATCCTAGATAAATCATAACGTGCTAATTTTTTCTTCGTGGTAGAAATACAAAAATACACAATTGATGAAATTAGTCAAAAATATAGAACATTAAATTAGTTCTATAGAAATGTCACAAATATTATCATGCCTCGAATTGTAAAAGAACGTCATCAATCTGATCTCCTTTTTTGTTTTATACGTATCCGTGATATCTTTTGTAATTAAAATAATTATCACATACGGAGAGCGTATCACATCATAAGTGTTATTACAATAATTATATTTTGTTAAGGACGTGATATTTTACGTAGACATAGTTCAGTGAACGTGAATTTTACATACTTCACTCGCTGCGTATAAACCTTTTCAAATTTATTACCTACTTTTAAAAATTCAGAACTTATTCTAACCCATTTTAGAGTAACAAAATAACTTTTAATCAATAAGCAGGGAAATTGTGAGTTATCATGAACTTATCCATGCTTTGAAACAAATTGTGTGAAGAAAACAAACCATACCTTGCCTCTGTTTAAGAAGAATGCACCAAATATGAATGCATAGATGACAGAGTATTTTGTTCGAGACAATGTCGAAAATTGTTTTGCTTACTGATGAGTCTTTGAAGTTTATATTATGAGGAAGGGTTTTTTTTAAATCATGAAAGAAGGTAAGAAGGACCCAACAAAGGCAAAAAAACAAACAATATCAAACAAATAAGGACTATTTCAATAATTAAACAGTTATTAGTTATTTCATACCACATCGAAATAAAGAATACAAATCATTATTAGAAAGACTTGACTAAGACGACTAAGTAAGTCGAAGGGAACATAATAAACACTCAACGAATTTCGGTCACGATTGCTTCGAAAAAATACTGCCCGCTATAAAATAATTAATCAGCTAATGATTAATGTCAGAAAGTAAAATACTATAAAAGTATAATATAAAAATTTTATTAAATTGGAAGCAATCACGAAAAGATTTTGGAAAATAGTAAAACACCATTGTATTTTTTTTTTGTAGACTGATACAACGCAATCACGAAAAGATTTTGGAAAATAGTAAAACACCATTGTATTTTTTTTTGTAGACTGATACAACGCAAGCCTAACTCACTTCTTCAACACGTCTCGCTGTCAGTCGGCATTAAGATATTAGTATATCTCCCAATTTTCAAATTCCCAATTAATTCCCAATTAGCGTCAAAAATAACACAATGTAATATTGTGATCTGCCTATTTTATCAGTCAATATCGCTCGAGTTTTAAGTTCCAAGATCGTACTCATCATATTATGAAGTGGAGCTTGTGATAAAAGCTGTTCAAAAGACGTAACAGTGTAGTTATAGGTTTCTTGTCATCTGGTTTAACTTTGTATTGATTATGCATCGATTGGTTAACCAGTTAGTTAACCTAATGACCACAACGCGTAGATTGTACTTCGTATCGGATTGATCAGTAAATGACCACACCAACATTATCCTGTTTTTAACTAATACAATACACCTACAGATAAATTGAATTGAGGTATAATCGTTTGGTAAATTATGTAAACTTATAAACCTTAATATAATATAGATAATAAGTTTATATAGTTGGCGGTATGATTGTGCCGGATTGTCAAATTGTGATAGGTAATTCATTTTGATTGACCTTGAACTAGAGAAAATTTAATAGGGCATATTCAGTTCAAGGTCATAATATAGCTAGTCCAGTGGATTATACATACAGTGGATTATAATATCACTTATAATGTAATTTACTTTCTTCGCATGCGATAATTCTATTTGCGTACAAAGATCACATTAAGGTACTCAAATAAAGCTGAGTATATTTTAAAAAAAATCAATGTAAAATCTGATTATGCAGCGATAACAACATCACGTCAGTACTTAATACTTGATAACTTTCAAATTAAATGGTGTCAATTCCTTAGGCGCTTGTGCTTTCACAGATCTTCCTGTCTAATTTGAGTACAAGTGGCACGTGCCAAGTAATAAAATATTGGTTTGGTTGGTCGTGGTTCAAAACTCGATTTTTGGAAATTTTTAGGTTTACTAAGTAATAATCATCCAAATAGAAAAATAATAATAAAATGTTAAATGAACATTTGTGTTACAGACATTGGCTGCGTTTGGTCGAAAATAGCGCTTGTTAGAAATCGTTAGCAAAATGGCGATCGCCATGAAACCGCCGAAAGTTTTAACTTTAGCATGTTTTCGGCGATGCCACATTTGCTAACTTCAAAAGTAACGGTTTCCCACACATTTTTTTTAAGCACTTCCGGCTAAAAGGACGCCATTTTTCTTACTAGCGCTATTTTCGGCTAATCGCCCCCATTAATTAATAGTTTTGTTAATGAATATAGCAACGATAGCCGAACGGTGAAGGGGTCGGAGTGGCCGACTCGAGATCCGAGGAACGCGGGTTCGAATCCCACCGCCGCTCGACTATTGTGGTGAGCCCACTCGTAACACAAGCTTATTTTACTACTAGGACTATTAGTAATTTGGGCAATACAAATTGCTAATAATCTTTAAAAAAATATATTTGGTAGTTTGTAAAATCTTAACTGCACCATTTGTGAATCAGAATTAACAAATGAGTTGAGAGCAAAAGACAATGCCGGAAATTGGCGTCTTTTTTTTTTCGCGCGGCCATCGACCAAACTTTGTTTTTTGATTACAAAATCTATATATACAGGGTGTTAGGTAAATGGGTATATGAGCCGACACTAGCCCATGTTAACATGGTCATGTAAATGGTATGGTGTAGTCCGAAATTTGATATCATCATTTTATTTTTTTTAATTTTCATACAAAATTAATTTTATAATGTCCGATTTGTATGAAAAATAAAATAATTAAAATGAAGATATCAATTTTCTGACTTCACCATACCATTTATATGACCATGTTAACATGGGCTAATGTCGGCTCATATACCCATTTACCTAACACCCCGTATAAAAGAAAGTAGTGTTAGTTACTCCACTTATAACTCAAGAACGGCTGAACCGATTTAGCTGAAAATTGTCAGGGAGGTAGTTTAGAGCCAGGAGAAGGACATAGGATACTTTTTATCCCGTTCGAAATAAAAAAAAAGTCTGCTTATTTATTGCCATTAAGGCGGAACAAAGTTCGCCGGGTCAGCTTGTAGTGTAATAAACCAAACTTACTATGACATGTATACCTCTAAACTCAGTCTGAACTGAGTTACGAGCGTTAGAAGTTTGATGATTAACATACTAGATTTGCTTTTTGCGAGCAAGTTTTGTAAGAAATTACAACAAAATAGTGACATTGTATGTGTAAACAAACAATACCATCCATTAAAGGCTCCAGACATCAGTGTGGAGCAGAATCAGCGCAATAAAAAATAGCGCAATATTTTGTTGCAATTTCTTACAAAACTTGCGCGCAAAAAGCAAATCTAGTATGTAAATAAATCATCAAATTTCTAATGCTCTTAACTCAGTTCAGACTGAGTTTAGAGGTATACATGTCATAGTAAGTTTGGTTTATTACACTATTTTGTAATCAAAAAACAAAGTTTGGTCGATGGCCGCGCGAAAAAAAAAAAAGACGCCACCTTCCATACAAAATCTGGCATTGCCATTTAACCGTGGCTCACACGAATTGATATTTTAACGTAAAAAAATACTTCTTAGTACTACATCCGGATAGTACGATGTAATATCAGCGGACCCTTGAGCGTCGTTATAATCGGATTCTACTGTACTGTATTATTTTTTTCCAAGATAATTATGACCGAACTTCACTTCAGGGTAAGTTCGTTTGATCAAGTAAAAGACAATGCCGGAAATTGGCGTCTTTTTTTTTTCGCGCGGCCATCGACCAAACTTTGTTTTTTGATAACAAAATAGTGTAATAAACCAAACTTACTATGACATGTATACCTCTAAACTCAGTCTGAACTGAGTTACGAGCATTAGAAGTTTGATGATTTTCATACTAGATTTGCTTTTTGCGCGCAAAGTTTTCTAACAAATTGCAACAAAATAGTGAGATTGTATGTGTAAACAAACAATATCATCCATTAAAGGCTCCAGACATCAGTATGGAGCAGAATCAGCGCAATAAAAAAATAGCGCAATATTTTGTTGCAATTTCTTACAAAACTTGCGCACAAAAAGCAAATCTAGTATGAAAATCATCAAACTTCTAATGCTCGTAACTCAGTTCAGACTGAGTTTAGAGGTATACATGCCATAGTAAGTTTGGTTTATTACACTATTTTGTAATCAAAAAACAAAGTTTAGACGATGGCCGCGCGAAAAAAAAAAGACGCCACTTTCCATACAAAATCTGGCATTGCCATTTGCTTGACTTCAAGTAGAAACCATGCACAACAAGATTACGCCCATGACATTAATTAATTAATATCTCATTAAAACCGTATTCAAGTATGAACATTATTTTTACCCGACTGCGCCAGGAGGGTTATGTTTTCAACTACACAATTTGTGTATCAGAAATAATAATAGACTGGAGGGCAAATATAACCGTATTGAGCGACGGGTTACGACGTTGACAAGGCCATTAAATGGCAGTCTGTATATTCACTAAATAAAAGCTAGAACTTACATGAAACCCTAAATTCAAATTGATCACCATTTAATTTGTATTATAGTTTCTTGTAAAAGTATCTTCTGGTAAACAATAGGTTAAGTAATCAAGTTAAGGTTCCAAAGGTTTTGTAAGATTTACCATTTGGTAAATAAAGACTTAAAATTGTTACATATGGAGAACTGTAAAATTTATACAGTACTATTATTATAAATTGATAACGGTCATAAAACAGATAATGCAGAAAAAATATGCAGTTGTACTAACTGCACAAAAATGCTTTTTCATTAGTGGCCCGCACTGCAAACGAAAAAAAATTACTTACCATTGGCTGCTGTTGATCGAACATGCCCTGTTCTTGCCGATCCAACAAAGAGTTAAGCCGCTGTGCCTGTAGACAAAAAATTCATAATAATGTTACAAGTATGGACAAGTTTGTTGGTAATTATGAACATACAAATTTGAGCACTCGTGACGATTATAGGTACGGTACTGCTTTCTGAGCATGTCGCGATTTACGCAAATAACAATTCGACCAGTTACAATCCTACTTCCTGCTATGCTACTAATATTATAAATGGGAAAGTTTGGATGTCTGTATGTTTGTTACTCATTCACGCAAAAACTATTGAACGGTTTTTTTTTTAACTTTACAGTATTATTTATTGTAACCCACATAACATATAGGCTATAATTTATGCTGTTCTGTGACACCAAATTTCACGCGGGTGAAGCCGCGGGCAAAAGCTAGTTTACAATGTTTTTTGATGCCTCCCATCGACCAGTTACGATCCCAGCCTCTCTGCGGTTGCGTAGGCAAATGGCGGCCCCTGCTCGCGCCGCAGCAGCCTGCGCGTGCTCACCTGCACAAAGAGCGTGTTCTCCTGCTGGCGGCGGCGCAGCTCGTCGTCCTGGTTGCGCATGCGCTGCGACAGCTCCTCCTCCTGGCGCAGCAGCTGCGCGTGCTCACCTGCACAAAGAGCGTGTTCTCCTGCTGGCGGCGGCGCAGCTCGTCGTCCTGGTTGCGCATGCGCTGCGACAGCTCCTCCTCCTGGCGCAGCAGCTGCGCGTGCTCACCTGCACAAAGAGCGTGTTCTCCTGCTGGCGGCGGCGCAGCTCGTCGTCCTGGTTGCGCATGCGCTGCGACAGCTCCTCCTCCTGGCGCAGCAGCTGCGCGTGCTCACCTGCACAAAGAGCGTGTTCTCCTGCTGGCGGCGGCGCAGCTCGTCGTCCTGGTTGCGCATGCGCTGCGACAGCTCCTCCTCCTGGCGCAGCAGCTGCGCGTGCTCACCTGCACAAAGAGCGTGTTCTCCTGCTGGCGGCGGCGCAGCTCGTCGTCCTGGTTGCGCATGCGCTGCGACAGCTCCTCCTCCTGGCGCAGCAGCTGCGCGTGCTCACCTGCACAAAGAGCGTGTTCTCCTGCTGGCGGCGGCGCAGCTCGTCGTCCTGGTTGCGCATGCGCTGCGACAGCTCCTCCTCCTGGCGCAGCAGCTGCGCGTGCTCACCTGCACAAAGAGCGTGTTCTCCTGCTGGCGGCGGCGCAGCTCGTCGTCCTGGTTGCGCATGCGCTGCGACAGCTCCTCCTCCTGGCGCAGCAGCTGCGCGTGCTCACCTGCACAAAGAGCGTGTTCTCCTGCTGGCGGCGGCGCAGCTCGTCGTCCTGGTTGCGCATGCGCTGCGACAGCTCCTCCTCCTGGCGCAGCAGCTGCGCGCGCTCCTGCTCGCGGCGCTCGTCGGCGGCGCGCTCGGCCATCTCCCAGCTGCGCTTCTGGCGCTCGCGGTCTTGCTCGCGCTGCCGCAGTTGCTCGCGGAGCAGCTCAGTCTCGTGCTCGTACCTGGGACATTCGTAAAATTATGGGCTTCTTTCCTAAAAAATTTTTTTTGTCTATTTTACCAAAAAATCTTGGGACACATTTTTAATTGTCAATCAATCAAATAATTACAAAATTATGGTGCGTTGTGAAGTTCCGCGCGACGTCACAAAGTGCTGCACTTCTAAGCACTCATTGACGTCACAGGCCTCTTCTTTTGAACTTTGGCGTGATCTCTTTAAATTTTCATTAGTTTGAAAAAGTGAAAAATACATGTCGAGTATTTTATGATAAGTTAATTGACGAACTAATTACTCTTGTTTTTTGACCCAGTAAACATGCCTATTACTATTAATCTTTGATGTTCCTGGCTCACTAATACAGTGTGAGTCACGTTAAAGTGTACATATGAAAATAGAAAAAACTAGACCTGTTTTTATCGACAAAAAAAGAGATCAAAAATTTTTTGAGATTTTTTTTTAATTTTTTATAGAATTTTTTTTCTTCCAATTACTTATTGTAAAGAAAACGTAATAACTTTTAAACTAAGCGGTATATCCTAATAAAATAAAAACAGTAATAATGCTAAATAACAGGCGATACTAAAAAAAATACATGAAATACACAAAAAAGGCCAAAAAATAATAAAAAATGATAATTTTTGAAAAAAATCTGCTTAAAAATTCGTGTTTTTTTGGTTATTTGATAAATTTCTCCAAAAAATGCCCCTATAACTGGTGGTTTTTAATACTTTGTATTATTCTCTATCGTATTACCTTCGTAAAACCAAAAATCGCATGTCAAATTTTGACCTCTTTTTTGTCGATAAAAATAGGTCTAGTTTCATCTATTTTCATATGTACACTTTAACGTGACTCACACTGTATAAAATAGTAGGTAACGAAAACAATACACACTTGGCATATTCCATTTGAGCTTCCAACTTCTCCTCCTCGGCAGCCAGTTCTTTCTTTAGCGCCTCTTCCTTCTGACGGTGAAGTTCATGCAATTGCTTCCACCTAGTACCATATTCATGTTCAAAACTTCCCAATTCTGAGAAACGAGGCCCCATCTATAACAAGATAATATACTTGTTAGATAACTAGAAAAAGATAGAGAAATAATCAAAAACATACTGTTGGTAAATGCTTACCTCACGAGCCTTTTGGAATTCTGGATGCTTCTTAGGCAAATTCTTTTCTGGGTAACCATCTAGTTCATCAGGTTCCTCATAGCTCTCCACAATAACAGGACGAAGGGATCTAAAATAATAAATTTAAAAATTAGTATTTTCCACACCAAACTTAAATAAATATCACTGATAATTTTTATTACTTACGAAGTTAAGAAGAAGCATCTTTCACTGCAGTTACGAATGGCCGCCAATGCACTAGGCTTCCGGGCATACTCCACAACGCCCTCTCCAAGAGTTTTCCCGCGCTCGTCTACTCTGACATAAGCTCTCTCAATTTTCCCAAAGATTTCAAAGGCACGGTATAGTAGTTCATTGGAAACAAAAGGCGGTAAATTTTTGATACGAATAGCACTGTTATGTGGGGCAAACCTAACTCGTAAAGTCTTGCCATTCCTCATCTTCCCATCTAATTCACGTTTTGCCCTTTCTGCATTGACTCTGTAGTCCTAGAAACAAAACATACATAGAATGAGACCCCACCACAAAATATTTCTATATAAATTTTTAAAATATCTGGTCACCAACAACTTACCATCTTGATAAATCCAAAGTTCTTCTCTTTATTTAAAAATAGCTCAGCAGCTTCTCCAAATGGAGTAAATAGATTCAGAATTTCGTCCTCAGTAACATCATTAGTCAAATTACCAATGTACAGTCTGCTTCTGCCATTGAATTTCATTTCCGTTTGATCTATTGGGTGCAAATCAAGTATTGGTCCAACTAAATCTTTAAGTTTGTTGGCAAGCATATGTTCTTCCCTCTGCAATGGTTTGCCATCTTGATTTGGACCTCTATTGTTACGCTGTTGGTTCCTGATTGGACCTGGCCCTCCTGGACCTCCAGGTTTCTGGCCGAAAGGCTTATTTCCTCCTTGACCAAAGTTGCCACCTTGTTTGTTACCAGGCCCACCCTGAGACCATCCACCTTGCCTGTTGCCACCTCCAAAGTTTCCATTCATGTTCTAAAATGGTAATTGCAACATTAATAACAAAATTAAATAAATAGATGTTTCACTATTTAGTTTTTATGGCTAANCTTGGGACACATTTTTAATTGTCAATCAATCAAATAATTACAAAATTATGGTGCGTTGTGAAGTTCCGCGCGACGTCACAAAGTGCTGCACTTCTAAGCACTCATTGACGTCACAGGCCTCTTCTTTTGAACTTTGGCGTGATCTCTTTAAATTTTCATTAGTTTGAAAAAGTGAAAAATACATGTCGAGTATTTTATGATAAGTTAATTGACGAACTAATTACTCTTGTTTTTTGACCCAGTAAACATGCCTATTACTATTAATCTTTGATGTTCCTGGCTCACTAATACAGTGTGAGTCACGTTAAAGTGTACATATGAAAATAGAAAAAACTAGACCTGTTTTTATCGACAAAAAAAGAGATCAAAAATTTTTTGAGATTTTTTTTTAATTTTTTATAGAATTTTTTTTCTTCCAATTACTTATTGTAAAGAAAACGTAATAACTTTTAAACTAAGCGGTATATCCTAATAAAATAAAAACAGTAATAATGCTAAATAACAGGCGATACTAAAAAAAATACATGAAATACACAAAAAAGGCCAAAAAATAATAAAAAATGATAATTTTTGAAAAAAATCTGCTTAAAAATTCGTGTTTTTTTGGTTATTTGATAAATTTCTCCAAAAAATGCCCCTATAACTGGTGGTTTTTAATACTTTGTATTATTCTCTATCGTATTACCTTCGTAAAACCAAAAATCGCATGTCAAATTTTGACCNTAGACGCTTGAAATTCGGCAAGCAGGTACCTTAGTAAACTTAAAGCTTAGTTATAACAGGATATTGCAAAATTCCCACGGGAACGGGAGTTAGCGGGAAAAAACATTTGTATGAAAAAATCTAAACCGCGTAAGGTAGATGAAGGGGGTAAAACGGGATCCACGCGTACGAAGTCGCGGGCGGCCGCTAGTTTAAAATAATTTGATTTCATTAGTTTTATAACCCTCTGGTGTGTGAGCACTGGTTGTAGGTGATATTAAAATATTAAAAGTATTTATGTTGAGTTATATTCTTTATGTAGTCATTAAAATGTAAACAACAAAATCTAAACAAACTTATTACAAGATATCAATAGTAAATGGAATTATAATGACTGACGGGCGGGATACTGTTTGAATTTTATGTGTTCAACAAGGAATCCTAATACTCTAATTATGAAATAATGTCAATTCACGTATATTGTTAACTAACAACACAGTTTTGAACTTAAAGTACAGTCACCTGCAACGACATGTGTAAAATTTTTACGTTTACATTAAAAACATAACCTGACCTAATACTAACGCAAATGTTCTTCAAAATTTTAAGAATGCAAGTTATAAAGCAACTAAAACAGAAACCGTTATCTCCACGTTACTACAGTTTGCAATCAAAAATAGGTTAACGATCAAAAGTTAGGTGTTAATATTAGCTTAAGTGTTATTCGTTTGCAAGATTGTCAAATACAATTGACATTCAAAGACGAGATACCTACCTACATTTTTTATGTATTAAGTAACTCTTAAATGTTGTCTATATATATAAAAATGAAACCCGTTTCGCGTTGTCACGGCATCACGTGTGAACGGCTGAACCGATTTCGATAATTCTTTTTTTTAAATGTTTGTGGAAGTCCAAGGATGGTTCTTACGGAAAAAAATATTAAGAAAATCTCTACGCTAAGGCGGTACGAAGTTCGCCGGGTCAGCTAGTTATTAATAAAATATTAACGCTAACTGTACCTAAACTAACCTTTGATCACACATGCTTACCTTTGCTGTAAATTGAAACTTTTGTTTTTCGTTAAAATATTGGTAAAATTTTATATTTGCTGATCCTAAGGAACATTTTTAGGCAGTGCTTGTAAACCTTTTTCGCAATGTTAATTTTCACAGTTTTGCATTGAAGTTTATCTAAAAGTTTTTAACTTTTACGACAAAAATGTTTACGATTTCTTTGTCTGAATTTGCAAAATTTTGGTATAAATCGAGACCACAGTATATATATGAGCTAAAGCAGTACGGAAACTTATCCCTTTCGGCGAGTTAAATACCTACACTTCAACTGAGTGTTAGGGTTGGCACTCTTAATCTTTATAAAATTAATAAGGTTCTTACTTACTTATTTATTAAAACGTTTATTTAGGTTTTTTTAATTATCAAATACCTAATGGAATAAATTAATTGACTAAGTAGTTAACAAAAAAATAAAACGTTAACACAGAATAAGTAATAGTACAGGTACAGAAGGATNTGCTCACCTGCACAAAGAGCGTGTTCTCCTGCTGGCGGCGGCGCAGCTCGTCGTCCTGGTTGCGCATGCGCTGCGACAGCTCCTCCTCCTGGCGCAGCAGCTGCGCGTGCTCACCTGCACAAAGAGCGTGTTCTCCTGCTGGCGGCGGCGCAGCTCGTCGTCCTGGTTGCGCATGCGCTGCGACAGCTCCTCCTCCTGGCGCAGCAGCTGCGCGTGCTCACCTGCACAAAGAGCGTGTTCTCCTGCTGGCGGCGGCGCAGCTCGTCGTCCTGGTTGCGCATGCGCTGCGACAGCTCCTCCTCCTGGCGCAGCAGCTGCGCGTGCTCACCTGCACAAAGAGCGTGTTCTCCTGCTGGCGGCGGCGCAGCTCGTCGTCCTGGTTGCGCATGCGCTGCGACAGCTCCTCCTCCTGGCGCAGCAGCTGCGCGTGCTCACCTGCACAAAGAGCGTGTTCTCCTGCTGGCGGCGGCGCAGCTCGTCGTCCTGGTTGCGCATGCGCTGCGACAGCTCCTCCTCCTGGCGCAGCAGCTGCGCGTGCTCACCTGCACAAAGAGCGTGTTCTCCTGCTGGCGGCGGCGCAGCTCGTCGTCCTGGTTGCGCATGCGCTGCGACAGCTCCTCCTCCTGGCGCAGCAGCTGCGCGTGCTCACCTGCACAAAGAGCGTGTTCTCCTGCTGGCGGCGGCGCAGCTCGTCGTCCTGGTTGCGCATGCGCTGCGACAGCTCCTCCTCCTGGCGCAGCAGCTGCGCGTGCTCACCTGCACAAAGAGCGTGTTCTCCTGCTGGCGGCGGCGCAGCTCGTCGTCCTGGTTGCGCATGCGCTGCGACAGCTCCTCCTCCTGGCGCAGCAGCTGCGCGTGCTCACCTGCACAAAGAGCGTGTTCTCCTGCTGGCGGCGGCGCAGCTCGTCGTCCTGGTTGCGCATGCGCTGCGACAGCTCCTCCTCCTGGCGCAGCAGCTGCGCGTGCTCACCTGCACAAAGAGCGTGTTCTCCTGCTGGCGGCGGCGCAGCTCGTCGTCCTGGTTGCGCATGCGCTGCGACAGCTCCTCCTCCTGGCGCAGCAGCTGCGCGCGCTCCTGCTCGCGGCGCTCGTCGGCGGCGCGCTCGGCCATCTCCCAGCTGCGCTTCTGGCGCTCGCGGTCTTGCTCGCGCTGCCGCAGTTGCTCGCGGAGCAGCTCAGTCTCGTGCTCGTACCTGGGACATTCGTAAAATTATGGGCTTCTTTCCTAAAAAATTTTTTTTGTCTATTTTACCAAAAAATAATTGTCAATCAATCAAATAATTACAAAGTTATGGTGCGTTGTGAAGTTCCGCGCGACGTCACAAAGTGCTGCACTTTTAAGCACTCATTGACGTCACAGGCCTCTTCTTTTGAACTTTGGCGTGATCTCTTTAAATTTTCATTAGTTTGAAAAAGTGAAAATACATGTCGAGTATTTTATGATAAGTTAATTGACGAACTAATTACTCTTGTTTTTTGACCCAGTAAACATGCCTATTACTATTAATCTTTGATGTTCCTGGCTCACTAATATAAAATAGTAGGTAACGAAAACAATACACACTTGGCATATTCCATTTGAGCTTCCAACTTCTCCTCCTCGGCAGCCAGTTCTTTCTTTAGCGCCTCTTCCTTCTGACGGTGAAGTTCATGCAATTGCTTCCACCTAGTACCATATTCATGTTCAAAACTTCCCAATTCTGAGAAACGAGGCCCCATCTATAACAAGATAATATACTTGTTAGATAACTAGAAAAAGATAGAGAAATAATCAAAAACATACTGTTGGTAAATGCTTACCTCACGAGCCTTTTGGAATTCTGGATGCTTCTTAGGCAAATTCTTTTCTGGGTAACCATCTAGTTCATCAGGTTCCTCATAGCTCTCCACAATAACAGGACGAAGGGATCTAAAATAATAAATTTAAAAATTAGTATTTTCCACACCAAACTTAAATAAATATCACTGATAATTTTTATTACTTACGAAGTTAAGAAGAAGCATCTTTCACTGCAGTTACGAATGGCCGCCAATGCACTAGGCTTCCGGGCATACTCCACAACGCCCTCTCCAAGAGTTTTCCCGCGCTCGTCTACTCTGACATAAGCTCTCTCAATTTTCCCAAAGATTTCAAAGGCACGGTATAGTAGTTCATTGGAAACAAAAGGCGGTAAATTTTTGATACGAATAGCACTGTTATGTGGGGCAAACCTAACTCGTAAAGTCTTGCCATTCCTCATCTTCCCATCTAATTCACGTTTTGCCCTTTCTGCATTGACTCTGTAGTCCTAGAAACAAAACATACATAGAATGAGACCCCACCACAAAATATGTCTATATAAATTTTTAAAATATCTGGTCACCAACAACTTACCATCTTGATAAATCCAAAGTTCTTCTCTTTATTTAAAAATAGCTCAGCAGCTTCTCCAAATGGAGTAAATAGATTCAGAATTTCATCCTCAGTAACATCATTAGTCAAATTACCAATGTACAGTCTGCTTCTGCCATTGAATTTCATTTCCGTTTGATCTATTGGGTGCAAATCAAGTATTGGTCCAACTAAATCTTTAAGTTTGTTGGCAAGCATATGTTCTTCCCTCTGCAATGGTTTGCCATCTTGATTTGGACCTCTATTGTTACGCTGTTGGTTCCTGATTGGACCTGGCCCTCCTGGACCTCCAGGTTTCTGGCCGAAAGGCTTATTTCCTCCTTGACCAAAGTTGCCACCTTGTTTGTTACCAGGCCCACCCTGAGACCATCCACCTTGCCTGTTGCCACCTCCAAAGTTTCCATTCATGTTCTAAAATGGTAATTGCAACATTAATAACAAAATTAAATAAATAGATGTTTCACTATTTAGTTTTTATGGCTAATAATTACTGTAGATAAAATTCTACATAAAGCTTTACATACCCTTTGCTGTTGATTTTGATTGTTCTGATTCTGGTTCTTCTGTTCGCTATCAACTTTATCTTGGGAATCCTGCTTGGCAGGAGTACTCTGAGGCTTCTGCTGTTGCTGCTGCTGTTGCTGCTGCGGTTGCTGCTGCTGCTGTGGTTTTTGCTGCTGTTGCTGCGGTTTTGGTTGCTGCTGCTGAGCTGGTTGCTGTTGCTGTTGCTGCTGATTTTGCTGCTGTTGAGGCTTAGGCTGGTTCTGCACCGGTTTTTGTTGAATCGGTGTTGTTGCTTTTGCCTGAGGTGCCTGTTGAGTAGCTGGCTCATTTTTAGACTGAACCTGATTCTGTTTCTGCTGCACTTGAGGTGGCTTCCCAGACTAAAAGATAACAAAACAATATCAATAGGTCAGCCAGTATTGTGTATTAAAAGGAGGTCAATATTTTCAGATGAATTGATTGAATCATTTAACCTACTTATAACCCCCTACTTTAGTTGCACTGGATTTACTACATAATTTAAGTTAAATTACATAATTTAACTAAAACTTATGATTTGTTTTGTAATGTCATGGGAAAAAATCGATTCCAATATGGATGGTATATTTAGTAAGTGCCAGACTTCTTGGATTTGGTGATACAGGTAAATCATTGTCAGAGTACATAAAGACAGGTCTAGTTTTGTCTTTCAAGATAGTTAGGTATTCAGAGTTATTTTAAAATCAATACTTAAGCACCGACGATAAGATGGCGGCGTACCGCAATAAAAGCAGGCCAGTCCCATGATTCCCGTTATAAATGTGTATGACATTGAAATACTACTACTATTGAGTAAATTATTCACTAAGTCCTAAGTTGGAGACTTACTTCGTTATTGGGTCGTTGACCTCCAGGACTCTGATTCCTTTGATTGTGCTCAAATCTTGAATTATTACGAAAACCTCCTCTATTCATACCACGACGACCACCCTGCCTTTGTGGCTGCGGGGGTCCTCCAAACCCTCTATGATTACCGTATTGGTTCATACCGTGCATTTGCATTGTCCTGTAACAAAATGTTAATTGTTTTACTCACACGCATTAATATTTAAGTCCTCATGCATGGTAAAATTATGAAAAGTAAACCAATTACCTGACGCTATTAGCGTAAAAATGTAACGCACTGAAAAACTTATCAGTCGCACTCACTTTGACCCGTAAATTGTATATTTGTAAAAAACGCAATAGTGAAATTTGTAACTGTATCTATAACAGCGTAGCGTCACCAAAGAACGACGCACACACAAGAAAAGAAAGTGATCGATGCGATGGATGCGCAACGTAGACAAGATGGTGGCTAGGAGGTAGGCTATTCCGTTTCCGTCCGACACGACCTCTTTGCTCTCTCCCCGTTTCCGGTTGTTTTTCGCAATTCCTACTGGCAACATTGTTATAGTCTCTATGCTCTTTGGCTTTTGGAGAAGCCAAAATTAATTTAGTTTTTTACCAAATAATTTAGTCTAACAGATAAATTCAGATAATATGTTTAGCGAAAAAATAGGGATTCCCCCTTTCATTGATACTGAATTAAATATTTTTTCGTTCTTTCTTAATTTATTATTTTGAAAAATCTATCTACATATATGCATTTTATCAAGAGTTCAAGACTGTCCATATGACTATCCAATAGACTGGATTTAAAATAACAAAATCCTTTTGTTTTTGTACAATATTCTTATTCATTTTTTACTAATGTAGGCCATAGGTACTATATCCAAAGCGAAGAAAAACCAAAAAAAAAACTTTTTTCTCACCTGTCAAATGTCATTAATATAATTTTTGACGTGCAGCGCGGGGGTGTGTTTTGTGTTTTGCAATAGATCTTGAAAAGTATTAAAAAATTAGTCCAAACATTTGCTATCAAAATAATGGAGCCTGAAAAAAATGATGATATAAATTCTATTGAACCTAAGTTTCCTATGTTACCATTTGAAACACAAATATTCATGGATATATTTGAAAAAGATGCTCTCGTAGTAATAGCCAAGTAAGTTTTGAAAAAGTTTAGAAAACCTTATTTCCTCGGGATAAGTTTTAATTACTCACCTATAGATTTCTATAGGTGTAATATCATAATATTCACTGTTGCAGTCCTGGGCGACTAGATACTACTACTAGATACTAGTTTTTCGCGCCTATAATTTTATATTATATTAATGTGTTTGTTTACTTTATTATGATTGCAGAGGTATAAATTATAACACAGTTTTATCTAATTTACTGTGGGTATATAATGATCCAGCAAATTTAATTCTGGTTCTAAATAGCAGTGATCATGAAGAAAAGTATTTTACAGAAAAGTTTAATTTAAATACTTTACCAACAGTTGGATCTGAGAGGTAGTATCTTTATTCAACTATGCTATTGATATAAAATAAACTACTGTTTAATGTTATTTTGTACATATTTTTTTGTCATTAGAGAAAAAGCATATTTGGAGGGAGGCATACATTTTGTTTCTACCCGCATCCTAGTAGTGGACCTCCTAAAAGACAGGGTTCCAATACCTAAAATCACAGGCATTATTGTGTTGAGAGCTCACACCATATTAGAGTCATGTCAGGAAGCATTCGCATTGAGATTGTACAGACAGAAAAATAAGGTATGCTTTTTTTTACTGATTTATTTGTGTGATTTGTGTTATTAGTAATTAAGGTAGTCATTGTAATTGTAACAATTTCTTTCAGACTGGATTTATTAAAGCTTTCTCCAACTCTCCTATATCTTTTACATTTGGATACCATCAAGTGGAAAAAGTCATGAGAGCTGTATTTGTAACTGAATTATTTTTGTGGCCTAGGTATGTTCTTCATTAATTTAGTTATTGCTACCACAAAATGTGTCTCTGGCATACAGCCAGGATTGCCACTGTGATGTTTCAAGGTTTTTTTTAATGTTAATTAAGGTAAAATCATCTTTTTTAGATTTCATGGAAATATAATCAAAAGTTTAAAAAACAGACAAGCTGAAGTGATAGAACTGCATGTTCCTCTTACATCGAATGTGAACCACATTCAAACCTGTCTTATTGATATCATGAATTACACTGTGAAACAGCTCAAAAGCATCAATAGGTCTTTAGACCTGCAGGTACAACTTTAACCTACATACTAGACTAGATATTCAGTATCCATATTATTCACAAGTTCTGAGAAATAAAGTTTTTCTGTAGTGTAATTTTATTTTATTATATCTTATCCTTTCATCATCAAAGCTAATCTGGTAAAAATCTAAATTAAATCAAAAATTTATATATATTTGTGAGTCAATTATTTATTTATTTGTTCATAGTACTTACTTTACGGAAACTGCGTGATTTGCGCCATAACAATTGACGCACTCTCTCGGGACGATTCACGTGCGACCGACTCTTGATCCGTCGTAAATAATCGAATAAATAACTTGCCATGATCGCCACGTATGATAATAAGAACATAAAAACCTGCGTTGCTGTCTTTAAAAATAAAAATGCGTTCTACCCGCAACCGGCCGCGCGGTTACAAACTGCTCCGTTATTTCTTCCTAGCTAATGTATGTGTACCTACATGCGTATGTGCGCCACGCCGCCACTACATGCTTGTTTATGATTTTGTTTTAATTTAGCTTAAACTACCCAATTCTGTCTTTCAGGAAATAACAACCGAAAATTGTCTGACCAAAAAATTCCACAAAATACTCCAATCGCAACTGGATTGTGTATGGCATCAGTTGAGTACAAGAACTAAAGAATATATTCAAGATCTCAAAGTTTTAAGAAGTATGATTATGTGAGCATATTTTAATCTATTCTTCTGTCCTGATACTTTTATAATGTTTCATTTAAAAATAATTAAATTGTATGAAAAGCCTGAATTTCCTTTCAAACCTTTTCATATTGTCTCGATTTTGAAATACTTTATTCTGACCTATTTACGACACTGGAATTATATTCATGTTTTCAGTAATGTTATACACGACGATTCTGTATCCTTCTATGCATTGGTGAGCAAATATAGAACACCAGAGTATGCTCAAATAAATTCAGGATGGATACTTTTGGACTCTGCAGAACAACTATTCCGATTAGCGAGAGGGAGAGTTTACAATCATAAAAGTGGTGAGTAATAGTTTATTATTAATTAGAATAAGTAGAAATGGTACAATACATAGATTGGACATAATATCAGGTAACTTAGAATTTAAAGTATTGTACATGCATGTTTCAGAATTTGATCCAGAACCATCACAAAAATGGAAATGTCTCAATGAACTTCTATCTGAAGAAATTCCTGAAGAAGTTAAAAAGAAGCAAAGTGGAAAGTTACACAACACAAAAATATTAATTCTGTGCCAAGATAGCAGAACGTGCTCCCAACTAAACCATTATTTGACAATGGGCGCAAATAAATACCTTTTCTATACAGCTTTTAGAAGAGATTTAACAATTACTAAACTTTCATCCAAGTATAAGACCTATCAAAATGATATCCCTTTAGAAACTAAGAGTAAAACAAATAAAGATAAAAAAGAAGATACAAATGACCAAGAAAATGAAGAAAATAAAGATTCCGAATTGTTTGATGAGGAATTAAATACAGATGATACAAATAAATCAAATTATATCTTGACTTTAACACAGGTTACACAAAGAAATAAGGAATCGAACGAAAGTATGTTTGAACCTATTTCGCAGGTAAATCTTAGCATTCAGTCAGTAGACTCCTATCACTAATATGTAACTGTTAATTTATATTTATTAAATCGCTGTTTTCAGATGGATAGTTTGGATATAACTCAGATTGAGACCGAAAAACCTGTAATATACATCCAGACTTTCAAAGAAAATGGAAACAATTTCTCTCTTGAAAGAACCTTGGAACTGTTGCGTCCAGAATACATAATATTATACCACAGCGATGTAGCAGCAGTGAGACAGATTGAATTGTTTGAATCTCGAAAAAAAGAAGAAGAGTCTAAAAGTAAAGTTTATTTCATGATTCATGACAAAACTGTCGAAGAACAAGCTTATCTTACGTCACTGAAACGGGAGAAACAAGCATTTGAAACACTCATAGAGGCCAAAAGTGTAAGTAGTATTGTTTATAGTAATAGCAATTCATTCGTCTTTGTCTTCATCTTGAGCATTTCTTAAATATTATCATTTTTCGTATTCTTTCCATTTGAGGATGGCCCATCCCCCTTAGAGTTTCCTGTAAAAAGGACCTCCTATCAATAATATCCCATTCTATACCTATTGCATCAACAGAACAATAAGTTTAGCATATTTTTTAACTACAATTACCTACTCATATTTCAGTCAATGGTAGTGCCAACATATCAAGATGGAAAAACCGACGAATATTTCAATTTAAACGTCGAAGAAGATGAAGAGTCTATTGATACACGAAAAGCAGGTTAAAATATACTTTTATGTTTTCTACAATACTGTATGTGTGTCTTGGTGGATTTGTAAAATTGAATGAAATCTAATTTATTTTAACGGGATGTGGCTGTGTAATTAATTTATTTAAAATTTCAGGTGGGCAGAGTACTCAATGCAAAGAAAAACTGGTTGTTATAGTTGATATCAGAGAGTTTCGCTCCGATCTTCCTTCACTACTTCATAGGAAAGGCATTAACATAGAACCTGTTACTATCGCCGTAAGATAAATATTTATTGATCTATTAATAATTAATTATTTTGTTCTTATTAATTTACTAACATGTTACCTACGTTTTTAGATCGGAGACTACATCCTTACTCCTGAGATATGCGTTGAACGCAAATCAATATCCGATCTGATTGGATCTTTGAATTCTGGAAGACTGTATACACAGTGCACCCAAATGTGTCGGAACTATAGTAGACCGATATTGCTCATTGAATTCGACCAAAACAAGCCATTTAATTTACAGGTACGTAGGTAAATAATAGATTTATCNTGATACTTTTTGAAAAAAATCTGCTTTTAAATTTGTGTTTTTTTGGTTATTTGATAAATTTCTCCAAAAAATGCCCCTATAACCGGTGGTTTTTATTAATTTGTATTATTCTCTATCGTATTATCTTCGTAAAACCAAAAATCGCATGCCTCTATCCCTATCACAACGTTTGCAATGATCGTTTGAACTAAGCCTCTCCGTGCGCGCCATTCAACGCTTCGTTAACAACGAAACTGAAAATGGCTCTAGATGTGTAATTTTGATAAAGACAAGTTACATTTCAAATAAAAACAAAAGATTTCGAAGTAAAATAAGCATTTTAGTTAAAATTAAAATTGTCTCTACCTGCAGCGGAGAATAATGTTGTGGCAGGCCTTTGTTCAAACGATCATAGCAAATGTTGTGATAGGGATAGAGACATGTGATTTATGGTTTTACAAAGATAATACGATAGAGAATAACACAAAGTAATAAAAACCACCGGTTATAGGGGCATTTTTTGGAGAAATTTATCAAATAACCAAAAAAACACGAATTTAAAAGCAGATTTTTTTCAAAAAGTATCATTTTTTATTATTTATTGGCATTTTTTGTGTATTTTATGTATTTTTGTAGTTACGCCTGTTATTTAGCATTATTACTGTTTTTATTTCATCAGGATATACCGCTTAGTTTAAAAGTTATTACGTTTTCTTTACAATAAGTAATTGGAAGAAAAAAAAATCTCTAAAAAATTTTAAAAAAATCTCAAAAATTTTTTGACCTCTTTTTTGTCGATAAAAATAGGTCTAGTTTCATCTATTTTCATATGTACACTTTAACGTGACTCACACTGTATATTTATCAAGAAATCATGTCACCATGATATTAGGTACTTAGTACCTTATTCGATTCGATACTGAATAACTGTTTTTTTCCAGGGCCATTTTGTTGTATCAACTGATATATCAAGGGTAGATATCCAACAGAAATTACAACTCCTAACTATACATTTCCCGCGACTAAAATTAGTGTGGTCACCCAGTCCTTATGCTACAGCGGAATTATTTTATGAACTCAAAGTAAGTTTGAAAATGCTATATTAGGACCCTCGCCCACGGCGACTTTTTGTAGCGATGCAGTCGCGCTGCTGTAGTAGCGCGTTGGCATTACTTCTGTGAAGCGTTGCAAATGCGACTAACGCGCGACAAAAAGTCGCCGTGGGCGAGGGCCTCTAGTGCTATAAAAATTTCAACCACTTTAAAGATTATATCTGTAATGCAATTTTCATTACTTGTAGCAAGGTAGAAAAAACCCCAATGTAGCTGAAGCACTGGCCCTTAGTGGCGAAAATACCGCAGACGATATGAACTACGAGCGATACAACATAATGGTCCATGATTTCATACAAAAATTGCCTGGTGTTACGTCAAAAAACATTGCACGAATTTTAAATAGAGGAGTTTCCCTGGATCATTTAATTTCTTTATCACAAGTAAGTTATTATGGTTAGCCAAATACAATGATATAATTTTTGTGCCTTCATTTGGATAACACCATTGAGGTGCATGTTGCTTTCTGCCCCTTCTCTGTGCTTTTTTTGCTTACAAACCCTAATAACGTTTTACTTTATTTGCTACAATCGCGCGATACACCTGTTATGGTTACTACTACTGTAGCGTGCCCAGCGTGTCAAAAGTCGCGCTCTTAATTGTTCACGGTTTGAGCCACTTTTATAAAGTAATTGAACTGATTCAGCCACATAATCGGTTGTAAATAGACTGCGTTTCAGTGTGCACTTTCGTATCAACATCTAATCATCTTATTACATTACATCCCACTAGTCCCAGCCTCCCGCCTTACAACCAAAGCCCCCTGGGAAAATTACGCGACGCAGTTAGGAAAATTGCTATAGATAGTGACCTTGCTTTTTTTATTCTAGGAAAAACTAACGGCGATAGTTGAAAACAAAAATGAAGCTGAAACATTACATTCAATACTGCATGTTAAAGCAAAACCTGCCGACCCATCAAAAGACGAAAAACCATTTGGAAAAAAGAAGTTTGTAGGAAAACCATTATTTAGAAGTAAAAAATAAGCTGTATAAGTATGTAATAAGTTCCATTTATTTATTTTTACAGTAAAATTATAAGCAATAAGTATTCTTAAAATTGCATTTTTTATAAAAGGTGCATATAAATCGAGGATATATCCAGCAAAATGTATTTACCGCCAAGTACCTAAAACAAGGCGATAGGTTTAAAAAGTATTTATCATAACTTGAGATAATTTTAATGTTTAAAGTTTAATAGAACAACTTTTTTACATGCAAGTCTAGGACTGCATGCATTGTTAATAAGGCTGCTTGTGAAAAATAATAAGTTAGAATACACAACAACATACTGCGGATATGACAGTAAGATACATTGCCAAAATTATCTGACTAGTGACTATACATAATTATAATAATGAGATAAGTTACAGAACTTCACAATAAATGACATACTATGCCCAGAAAATAATCGTAATGTATACCAAAATTAACATACAACATGTAACAATTACGATTTTGTAATGTCACTCACGGTATTGGTGATCTTTGTCAGTTAGTGGTACATAGATCACACTCATGAGTTTCTTTACTGTTGTCGTGCCATCTGCTGCTTTATCAACCTAAAAAGAAAAAAAATCTTTAATTGTAGAAAAAAGTTGGCTACTTAGCAAAATCTTTAATGTCATCTAAAATACCTGTGTAAGATGTTGTTCACCGCCTTCAGGTCCAACCGGTACGATTAATCGTCCACCAGGTTTCAACTGGTCAACTAACTGAAAAAAAAAATGTATTAAGAACTTAAGCAAAAAAATATAACTTTGACATTATTATTTGAATAGACACTTACTGCCTGTGGCAATGTGGGTGCTGCTGCTCCTACATGGATAGCATTATAGGGTGCTTCTTGTGGATAACCTAGACGTCCATCGCCAACTACAAAAGTAAAAATATGATAATCAACATTTTTGAAAAGCAAAATTAAACTACAGCATCTGGAGCAAACTCAACTAAATAATCACCTATAAGTTTGATCCTCTCAGAGGACAACAATTCAGGGTGGTCATTTTTTATATTCTTTGTAGCCAATGTCACCAGATCTGGTATATGTTCAATCCCCACCACTCTGCCATTCTCCCCCAACATTATAGCCATGCAAGCGGTTAAATATCCTGAACCAGAGCCAACGTCCAGGGCTTTTTCTCCTGGAATTAACTGACTTTTCAACCTTTCTAATGCATGGGCGTGCTGTAAACAGATTCAGGATATATTGTGAAAATGCTAAAATTAATTATAAGTTGTAATTTTTTTATAATTTACAAACCATGTGTGGAGCACTAATCGTAGCAGAATAGCCTATAGATTGAGGTGAATCGTGGTATGGTGCGTACGGACAGTAGTTCTTCCTGTCGACAGCGGTCATTGCAGCAGCCACTGAGTCTGATTTTATTATTCCATTTGCTGCGAATTATTCATAATAGTATACTAAATTCAGCGATAAATTAATGGAATCAATGTTGGTAACATATATGAGATGAGCAAACACATATTTTTGTATCGTAGTACAGGTTGAAAGAAAGAAAGAATAATTTTTGCAATATTTATATACTTTTTTATAATGTTAATAGAATTAGAACAGGCATACAAGAACTGAATTTTATTGTAAGACGATGGTAAGTTCAGGAAAACTAACGTACTTCGTAGATGTCGAACCATATCAGCATTATTCACCCCATGACTTCGCCAAGCCATAATTACGGTCAAGATAAAGCCGCCAACAACAGGCAAAGCAATATTAACCCATGAACACTTAATTTTGGCAATATTTTTTATTTAATTTCTGTATCAAAAAATATTTTTTTCAGTTTCAATGACGTTTAGACATTGACAGTTTATTTTTTTTTTAGGATTTTTCGGCTTCGGATCGAGTCCATTATATCCACAGCTTTAAGGACGACGCACACTTATCTCTCGGAAAGGGAACTCGAATTGTTCAGTATTCTTTTTATNAAATAAATCTTTGGACAATTTCACACAGAAACTTAACTTTTTTTATGAAACTTCCTACTGCAAAGTACTGCAGCGAACACCTATCGAAATCGTAACATACAACCTCTATTGGACAAGCCCACGAACCGTGTTACATGGTCAACTAGCTTACGGCTCCCGTATCCAGAAAAGACGCGTCTCTTCGTCCACCCTTGCGCACCCTTTCGCAGATACAAATCGTATAGATATTGAACTTTTTAAGCGAGAGTTGATTAGTGTGCTGTGACCTCTATACTGGGAATAATCGATTGAGATATTCAAAGCCGTAAAATTAATTAAAAAAAAGTGCTGTTAATGTCAGGTGAATGTCAAACCAATTCGGGTCGGTGTTTGCATTTTTGGTGTTTTGTTGCACTTTTTGCAGATACAGACGCTATAGTTCTACTTTTGTGATTGTTTTAATTAATTTACACTGCTGTGAAAATATCTCTGTAAAACCGCAAGCGAGGAAATAAAGTTAGAAGCCTATAAAATGGTATGTGACGGCCCTGACCCGCCTGAGAACAACGGGAATGACCTGATACCACCCCCACGACACGATTTATTGATGAACGGTAATCTGGACGAGGGTAGCGATGATGAGCAGAATGAGCACTTTGGCTATGAACCCTTGCCCCAAGGTCCCGACGCTGTACACTCCGACCACGACCTAAGTGATGAAGATGCTGAGGTAATTACTGTATAATTTAGTGTTACTACACTACTGTGCAATGATTTATTATGTACACTAGTGNTACTAGTGTGTTGACAGAGTATCTTGTGCTGCTTCGTCTCATTTATTGTCCGAAGTATTGGTATGGTTAAAGTAATACTGAGTGTAAATAAACTTTTTACAAACCTATTTGCAGAAAATAACTTACTTTAATGACTATTAGTAGATTAAAATAATGTTTACCATCAATTTGATTGAGAATTAATTTTATTATTTCAGAATCTTCCTGCAACTGAGCCACAAAATGATGTCCCTGTGATAGAATCAATGGATTCAATACTAACTCGAGAAGTTTGGAGTGCACCTCAAAGATCAGAATCAATTCAAATGGACCATGATCGAGCTCAGCAAGTAAGGATTTACATTTCATTTCCTCAACTGAATACATTTTGTTGCTTACCTACTGTTTTTTTTAAATATAGGCTAAATAATGTTTGTAGTTTGTCATAAGAAATTGTAGTACCTAAGATAAAATTTCAAATGGTCTGGCCCAAATTCAAAATCTGTCTTGTATTTCCTTTAGTACATATTATTATATGCATTGAAAGAGTTCAAAGAACAAAAAAAAAATTAATTAACTATCTTTACTACTACTATCTCCTTTTTTATTGTTATTTATATTTTAAGGTGATGTCTGCAATGGCAAATTTTGCCTTACCACAAGCATCCATACCAGAGTGGGCACAAACTATCACTGAAGAACAATGGAAACAAACACTTAACGATAGAATAGAAAAATTAAGAAACAACAGGTAATGTTAGTTATTTATTAGTGTGTATTTTTAAGTTTAATATTGATCAAATGTATTGAAAGAAAATAAATATTGCTATGTTATTCCATATTGAGTTTCAAGTATCAACATTTACCTAGTCCAATTAATGTTTACTATGGTAAAACTATGATCCTTAATTATAATGCTTGTGCTTGATTACTTGTTTACCTTGAGTTGGAAATAATAGGAAGAATAACTAAAATTCATTTATTAATTTTGACATCACATTTATTAAAATTGCAAAACATTACAGGAAAATTAAAAAATCCTTAAAAGAAAACAATTTTATTAAAATTATAACATTATGGTTTGTATGGAATCTGAATAATGTATGTTGCCTGACAATCTATTATTAATTACATAAAAAAGTTCAGTTATTAAAGCTTTTTTTTTGTGATTTTTACCATATCATGAGATTCACCATTCAAATGAGAAAAAAAAATTAGCTAAGACATAAACAGTAAAATATCCCTGATTTGCATTTACACAATTCAAATAACGAAATAACCCATAATTTTTACTCGACTACAGTAGTAAAATTTTCGATCTCCCTGCTCTTGATTATTTAAAAAAAAATCGCTAAAGAAGATTGTAATTAATGTGTCAATGGCCTCTGTGTTTCTTAAATTGGGATGGGATAAATTATACAGGTACAAATTCGATCGAAATTGAATCGTGATTGTAGGTAATTGGTTTAATTCGTCACGTAAAATTGGTTGTTAAAACCTGTTTCTTTCTTATATCAAAACAATTTTGTTCTGATTATGTCATGCATAAAACGTAGTTATGTATGTTACAAAATAAGATTTGTGTTCGACTCCGAGCGCGATAAATCGTGATATTCGCACTTTGTAATTTGTGGGTCTACCCTCTATCACTTATGGGTACGTCGTTTTTGTATTTTCTGTCACTGTCGCTCATGCCAGTAATGTCGCTGTTGCAAAGAAGGGATAAATAAAATTTAAATTACGGAAATAATTATAAAGAGTAGGTCATAAGGTAACGCGTTGCATAAAATATGACAGGAACATTCTTGATTGTCGAAATCCCGTTAGGGCGCAGCATACTACTGAAAAGACATGAGGTGGGTGCACTTTTGACAGTACAACCTGACTAACCTGTCTACTTACAGAGGGCCAATGAACTCTCGGTGTAATTATATTAAAATTGATATTATTATTTACATGTGATAATATTTGGTTCCTCTTCTTTTAGATTATTGCTAAATTAGTGTTAATTTAATATACGGAACATGTATCAGAGACTTTTACTCAATAGTTGGGTCGAACACTATAGCGCTAAACGTAACCAGTTTGGTCTTCTCGTTCCTGATGAATAGATAGAATGGCGAGTCTGCGTAGAACGTCTCCGCCGTACGCGCCATCACCGCGCTGGTCGCAGCCACTGCTTCGGTGCCGTATTCTGTGCAAAATATATTTCTATTAGTTACATAAATACACTAGGCATCAAATAAATCGCACCTCCCGCGACAAGCACTTATCAAACGTATGCATCCCCACTTCCCACCAACATTGGTACCATTTGAAAGCCTAGTTCTAAACTTCATGTCATTAAAGGAAAGGTTTTTACCCCAAAAATGTGTGTTTACAAGGATCCAGAGTCACTTCTTCAAAAAATAGGTAGTTACGCTATAGCCATTTTTTATGACTATAAAACTGATAAGTTGGGATTAATCGCTATCCATCTGTTAAAGAGGACACGTGAGATCTTTATTTGGTTTTATAACCATTAAAATTGGTCTAATTGATCCCAGAGGTGAGCCTAAAGTGAGGTCTATTTTCAAGTCACATTTATGGTATATGTTAATCATTTATTTAGAAATGAAATGTATTTTTCTTTAAGGATATTTATTGGTCTTTCAAATAACACCAATATTATTGGGGTACCATAATTGTGTCAGAAGAAAATTTTTAAAGTTCGCGTCGCGGAAGGTGCGGTTTATTTGATGTTGAGTGTAGTTTCAGAATGTTTTTCTGTATGGAGAAGATGGGTTATGGTATCTATCTGCCCTTACTCCATCACGAAACGCTCTAGTTTCTGCAAACAGGGAGCTTTCGTATAAGTACACTTTTCTCAAATAAACTGTAGTCTATATGCAGATTGATCTAAATGTTTATTTATTTGCGCTGTTTATGGACTTATTGAAGTGTTAGTGAGTTATTTATCACTTATTAAACTTTTAATTAAGTGACTAAGCTGCGCAGCGCCGTTACATTAACAGTACGCTGTGACTCAGCCAGCAGTACCGACAGCTAATTTGCGTAACATATGCATACAAATATGTTGAAAGACTCACCGTCTATAGTCATTTTGACTTCATGCATCACTGAGTCGACGTGCACGGACGGGTTGACAAACCCGTTGACCATGTCCTTTAGTGTGCGCGCCTCGCCCTCGCCTGTGTTTATTCGGCTTATCAGCTCCTCTTCATTGGTATTAGCAACTTGATCGCTCTCCAGCATGACAGCGAAATTCGCAACTCCAGGTGTGAACATCGATCTGGCACCCAACCCACTCAAAGTATCCTTCAAGTCTACCTTACTTTCAAGCTTCATTTTAGGGAAACGAATGACACACTTCTTCCTCTTCATGTGATCTATCAATTTATCAATCTTTTCGTAATCTAAACGATCTAGTAAATCAGTTAAGTTAACACGCTTTGGTAATCTTGGTTTTATTACGTACATCGTTGTCACTGTATCGTTGTACGGCAAAGCAATCATCTGTAGGCCTGAAATGTAAAACATTTTTTTTTTCAAATAATGGATATTGAAAACAGCATTAAGTTTTCACATTTTCATTGATTCCTTACCATCTTCAAATGAAAAAACGTAGTCAAAATCTCCGAAATTAGCCATCAAATCTACCAGCACTTCTTTGGTTGGCGTTTGGAAGGGTAACCTGAAGGAGAGGAGAAAAATATAGATAAAATTTTACACTTAAAGCTGCATTTTAAGTAATTAAGTAAGCTTAAGTCACTCCTGTCCTTTACCTGTTTGTCCCTCATTGGACATCGGGAAAAAAAAGTTGCGATATCCGCCACGTTCATGAGTTGATTTATGTAATGTCAATTTTTATATTTCAGTTATTGCTGTTAATTGTGTAAAATCTAAATGAAAAATCTCAAAAATCAAACTTATGTGTTTGAATAACATACTTTCTCGTATACTCGGGTACGAAAGGTTCCGCCCATTGTCCGCTGAAGTAGAGGGCGCTGAGAAGCACTGCTTTTGTCGAAGCTGGCAGTGGCTGCTGCTGAAAGTTTTCTATTTTGTTGTTGGTGTGGTTACTCACCCATCTGAAATACAATGTTATTTCTTTAGATTTTTCAAATACAGTCCAACTGATTACCATTAGAACATTAAACAAATATTAACATACACGATCAGTCAACAACAAAAACACGAATACCAAAATTGTACCTACAACTTTTGTCTATTATGATAATAAGATAATATAGGTACATTAATTTTAGCATGCCATCTAAAATTAATGTACCTATATTATCTCACTTTTCAAAATCCTAATATAATAATACTTTTATACTTAGGAAGAAATGCCACATTGATCATGTCTAAATATTAATAAGTATTAAGTAAGTATCTTTAAGTAGGTATTTAACTTTTTCGTGTTGCAAAGGCTGCGGTTAAAGAGCATAAAATACTTATGGCTATAAATACTCTCGTAAAACTAAAACCTCAATACCACGAAAAAGCATCGTAAGTATGGCAAAGTCAAGGTGAACATGCAATGTAACAGTTATGCAAAGATAGTGCTAACTTTTGTAGGTAACTTTTAACATAACTTTTAGATCAGTTTATGTAGGTAAATAATAGGAACTTAATAATATTACTCCATCAGTTAGCCAAGCAACAAACTGCGGGATCAAACACAAATCTTTTCAGGGTTATCAGTTGTTTACAAGTTAATTTATTATGAACTGAAGTATGACTCAATTCGTATTCGGTAATTAAGTGGTCAGAATGATTTCTGTTTACTTATTTTTGTTGCGTCTATTTTGAACGCTAATACGGAAAACAAAACAAGCGTAAAGCGTAGCCTGACCGGGGTATAAGGAAAAACCGTACAATACTAACTCATTAATCATTTGTTTAACTTTGTCGCCATCTTGAAAGTCAGCACGGAGAGCTTCCCCGTGGTACACCCGCTGTAGGTAGGAGCGGAATATGTCCCGGAGCCGGGACTGCTCGCTGACGAACACAGCATTTGCGTATAATGTCTTTGTGTCGTTTGCACTTAGAGACCGCAATCGCGACCCCAAATCCTCGTGGTATTTTCGGTTCACGAGAATATCTGCGAAAAAAAAAGATAAATTGGGTATTTTATAACTTATACCACGCACGCACGCAGTCAACCGGTATCTTCCGCAACGTAAGCGCGGGTCTTTACCGTCACAACGCAGCGGCCACAGCCGAGCTTATAATGTAGAGATAACAAATTAATTTATTTTGTTGTAGTAGTTTTTTCATCCTACAAAAACCAAAACACTATTTTATGCAGGTGCAGACGCAGAGGAAATGCTAAATAATAGTAGCACCTTATTTGGTTCCAAATGGTGCGATTTTGCAACAAAAAATTAGTCTGATGCGCTGTCGACTGTACAATTAAATTAGTGTAAAAAGTTTTGGCGCGCAATAATCTAATAATTATGGAAATCACCGTAAATCTTTAGTCTTTAGGAACATGCCTACTTACGTTAAGAAGTAAGTAAGTAAGTTAGCACGCACTAGGGAATATGGACTAGGTACCTAGACCTAGGCATATTGGAAAATTCTAGCTTGATTAATATTCACCTGAATATTTCAGTATGAATCTGAGTCCATGAAAAAATATTTATAGCACTTAAGGCGTACTTTAAGTGCTATAAAGTCAAAGGCAAATCGATCGCACCAAGCATACTTATCTAGTAAAGTTATAACTATGGTTACTTATTTAAAAATTTTGCCGTAGCCGTTGTTTAAGAGTTGTTTTTTTCATATGGAAGTGTAAATAGACAAACTTTATCCACGTGGTCGTGGCCTTACCTAATTACCTAAAGATAATATCGAAAATTATAAGTGTACTAGTACAGTCAGAATCAAATAGTTCGTGACACTCAAAGTTGTGCTCAAAGTGACCAAAAAGTTGACAACACAACCTTATTCCGATTGTAACAAAGACGTGTTGCGAACTTTTTAGCTCCTTTTGGGTATCACGCACGAACTATTTGACGCTGACTGTACTTATACTGATGTCTAATCATTAGAAAAACAATTCGCTAACTATAATTATCTTTTATTTGTGAACTTATCATGTTCTTTTTTATAACAGTTAATGATGATGCCCATCCATCAGCCGCTTTGCCTCTCGTCTCGGGATTAAAAATATTTTTACTTCTCATTTGTCTGTTACAATGATATTAAATATTACAATTTTATAACCGAGGTATTGAAGACGAGGATAATACAATGAGTAAGTACCTAAAATAATGATAAAAATAAGTCTTCAGTGAAGATGTCTCACTTATCGTCGGGTAAGTTCTATCACCACGTAAGTCATATTTTGGCGTTTTTGTCATTTTGATGCTAGAAAATCGAAAGACGGACGCGTCGTTTCGTCCAATCCTGAAAAGTTGCTAATAATGACTTACGTGGTGATAGAACTTAAACGACGTTATAGCATTTCTAGAAGTTAACTCACAAACAGGTGAAAAACAAATTTATTTTGTGTTTCCTCGTGTTCTTAGACTGGATTAACGGGTACCTTCTTAACGTAGCTGAGTCCAGTTATAAGTAGACTCCTAACTACATCTGATCTTTAACGCAAAAGCGTAAATTATTGCCGTTAACTTGGTAAAAGAAATCCTATTACTACTTTACTAAAGAAAGCGTCTAAAATGGGTCGTTGTATTCTGAACTATTGTCATTATAAGTAGAAGTCCCACTTAACGGCACATGTGTAAAGAAATGAATTAACTGTGTCTATGTGGCACTTCGATTCGTTCCTTTCAACCAAGTGACGTCCACAGCTGGACAAAGGCCTCCCCCATGGACTTCCACAACAACCGGTCCTGGCCGCATTCTGTAGGTACTTCCCGCGACCGTCACTAGATCATCGAAGAACCTCTTCTATTATTTATACCATTATTATTGGTAATCTTATGTGACGTTTTAGTTGGCTTACCTTGGCTAAATCCGATTAGTTCTGCAATTTCGTCGTAGGTAGTTCCCGCGCTTCCCAGAAGCGTCATAGCAAGTAGACCTGTTTGTCATACAAATAGAGTCAGTTCGTCATTCACGTTGAAAATTAACACTTTTCTAAGTAAGTGGGTTTACATATTTAATGAATCATTCATTCATATTTGAGTGTCAGTTACGTTTCACACCTTTGTTCGATTGTGGAAAATCCTTGCTGCTAGTTTCATTACTTATTATTTGATACTGGTTAGTTACTCTTCCTTCGTCTTACGTTATGAGTCTATCGTATTTATGATGAAGTGGTTGGCCTAGCTAGGCGAAACTAGTTTGTCCTACGAGGTGACATGACGTAATAACATAAAATAATAAAATAGAAAGAAGTGCTTACCAACGACGCCTGTAGGAGATACCACGATGTTCTGGTCTGTGCTCTGGTTCATCATGGCTTTAATCATCTTGAAGCCGAAAGCATTGACAGCCTTCGCCACTCCATCATCTTCGGCCGGAGCCGGAGCTGTGGTAGTCGAAGTAGATGATGGTGGATCGTCGACAACAGTGCTGTTAGAAAATTGATCGCCATTAAAATATGTATGTATTTACAAGATAAGGTACCAAGTATTTACTTATGTTAATGTAAGTAAGTACAAACAATAGGTAAAGTTTTTCTTCGTTATTAGCGTTGTTAGTATGTTGAACCTTAATTTAAGAAAAATATTTTTCCTAGGAAAATGTAAGTTTCCTTTAAATATAGTTGGAAGAACCTACCTGGTTTTTACATCACTGTCTTCTTGTGGTCTTGGATATGCCAATGATGCGTAGCATAGCAGGATGGTAAGTTGTACGTAGATTTTCATTTTCAAATAAAATCTAAAAAAAAGAATAAGTATGCTGGTAAGTGACATTTTTAACAACACCAATCTAAAAAATAATATGACTGGTAAATAAAAGTTTAGACGCGTCTGTGGTAAGCGCAACTGACTCAAACCCAGAAGTCCCGGGTTCGAATCCTAGTGGGTGGGGGCAGTTATTTTCTGCTCCGTTTAGTTAAAAAAGGTATTTACTAGATTAATTTGGATGAAAATCTTATCGAAAAAGTCGTGGACTAATATAGAATTTGCGGTTTTATAGGTGTCTAGAGCCTTTGAGATTTTTTGGTCAGTTCGTATTTTTAGATTACTAATAATTTCTTACCGAGGATTGCTTTTAGAATAACATAGAACTCTTCCTCCAACTCTTTCCTGTCTTAGTTTTATAGTAGGTAGGTGTATTTATTTTGAGTTGCTACGTGAGATCATAGGTATAAGAAACACGTACCTTTACCAGACTACCTATCCTTGTTGAATTCTATGAATAGGCTAAAAGTTCGCACGTTTTCATCGTGTGCAATTTCGGAATGCATCATTATCAACATTCATGCGACTTCAGCCACGTTCTCTTACTCACAGTAAATTATTTAGGTATAATACGTACCGAAGTACTTTTGACTCTTTATCACGGTGGACCAAAAAAAAACAAACCAAAATGTAGATAAGTACCAGTAGGATGGTACCTACGCGCACGCATAATAAATAACTCAAACACCATGCAACTCGACAAACAAAGTTGCTTCAGTTAGGTACACAAACACCATAACATAAAGAAAGCATTTTGTAAAAAAAACCCTACTTGTTATGTGGCGTAGTCGCGCGGTGATCCAGCTTCGATTCCACGGATCAAATAAAAAAACTTCTTGGGACTTTCTAAAGCTGAGTAAAGCTACAAATAAGCTTGCACCTGGGTGTACTGAGACTTAAAGGTAAAGAATAGGCAGTAATCTTGGTTACCTCGTACGTTGAATAAACTGAAGGAACCTTAGTTTGCTTCAAGACCATGACAACAACTTGTGAATTGTTTTGTATTTATAGGAGGTTTTCCTGCCAGTTCGAGGCATCGAAAAACGATATCCGCTCATGTTCATGATGCTATGTGATAGATGAGATAACAATTAAAATTATTATCCAATTCACAACAACAATGAAATAATGCAACTTTAATTGATATTATCTTTTCCAACAGGTACCTAACTCTACTTAGTATATAGGATGATGTGTACCTACTCTCGTACCTATGTAGGTACTCGTAGTTGCCAATTTGTGAAAAATCCGAATGAAAACACTATAAAAAGTTATGCAGATAATATTTTTGAAAGTTAAGCTCATAATTAATTACCAAAACAATTAAATAAGATGTAAAAGTTAAACTTTGTCGAGACATTGGTATAGGAATTCCGCTGCAGGAACTAACAAGCCATAAATTAATTTAATTTAGAAAAGAAGAAACCACAGCTACTGAAATAAGATCTAGACATAGTTTTTTTAGTTTAATAAACCTAGATTCATAGGTCTTTTTAGGGTTCCGTAGCTAAATATGTATTTATAAGTTATATAGGTAAATATTATTTAATGTGTACTTACTTAATATAATAATTTATTAAAATTAAATGATGCCAATGCAATGACCGCAATAACCAAATTTCTATAGTTTTGCTTAGGTATTCCTTTACATACAATTCATAGTTACTTACTTAGACCATAGAGAAAAGTAATACATAGGAAAACTTAGACTACTTAGTTAAATAGGTACACACCATGAAAGATCGCCAGTATTTTTTTTATTTTAGTAAGTAAAACAGAAACTAACTAAATAATAATGAGCAACGTTAGTCAGATTACACTGTAACTATATTTTGTAAAGCATATTTATTATCTTAGTTATTTTCATTAACTTACCTATTTAATTGACCTTAAATCATTTATCATTAGATGTCAGCAACACCAACACAGCACCACCAACACGAGTGTTCACTCACACACAGTGCACAATACTAAATGATTAAAACACGAACGTTTCTCTGCGCTTTGAGTAGTAACCTTGAAAAGCAAAATAGGATGGCCGCCTATACCCGACATTAATACCGGTCCAAAACGTTGCACAGCTAGGTACAATAAGCACAACTATTACAAAAGCACTGATTAATATCAATAATTAAACTTTGTCACAAGGCTCTATGTTATCGCGACATTTTTGGTTTAAAAAAATCGCCTCCGCCAGACAGCACACTATGTCTCATGGTCAAAACAAAGGCATACAAAGGGCCGCATACTTGTGTACTTCTTTAAGATGAAGTTAAGACCAACAACGGTTTTATTTTGTGGCATTCTCGCAGCACACACCCAGACAACTCAATTTTGGAAAGGTCTTTTCAAAGTAAAATGTCCTCGACCAGGAATTTAACCCGGGATGTTAAGGCTATTCCTCACGCCGCCGCCACTACGCCATCGTAGCGTAGTACAAAGTTGCAAACAGTGTACGTTTATACGAGATGCCCTTTTTAGAATTTTATACTGAGTCTGTAGACAATTTAGGTAATGCCTCGAATCGAAAGCGAATTTTAAGTTTTGCTGTCCCGAGACAGCCTAGACGGCCGTTTGGAGCCTTGGGCATACTTACTTATTCTGTGCCTTGAGGCCATAATAATTTTTTTGCAAGGGCCATAACAATTTTAATTTTTCTGCCTACCTGCAAACATAGGCTTAGTCTTAAGCTGTCGCGGGCCTAATAATTATGGTCCGCGGGCCGTAGTTTGGAGACCCCTGTTCTAGTCTAACGTGCTTAGGTGAGTTGCGTAAAGAGGGCTTGACTGCATGCATCCATCTAACTTTACATAGGTACTTGCTCTACATAGTGTTAGGTAAATGGGTATATGAGCCGACACTAGCCCATGTTAACATGGTCATATAAATGGTATGGTGAAGTCAGAAATTAGATATCATCATTTTATTTTTTTTAATTTTCATACAAAATAAATTTTATAAAATCCGATTTGTATGAAAATTAAAATAATTAAAATGAAGATTTATCAATTTTCTGAATTCACCATACCATTTATATGACCATGTTAACATGGGCTAGTGTCGGCTCATATACCCATTTACCTAACACCCTGTATATTTTTATAAGCTACTGCTGCGCGGTTGAGATCACTTACTATGGCACTAAGCACTGTCACCACACTATCTATACAGGGTGGCCAAAACAGTGAGGTCTAAAAGAAAAATTTAGATTCCTTACATCAAGGTGTACCTAAATCACCCCCGTATATTATACGATTGTGCTTAGTTTAGGAGATAGAGTTAATTTTGTCATATTTTAAAATTTTATGACCTAGTAGGCTTTAAACATTTTTATCTTTTTTTTGGGTTGACTATTTTCAGATTTCTTTTTTTCGACAGATTTGTTATGAATTGCAGATGTTTGAAAAAAATAATCACCTTTCTATCTTTGATTCAAGATACAAAAGTTTTGTTAGAAACATTAAATTTATGCTTTTATCAGAACACTATCAAATTTACAACTTAAAAGTTTAAGTAAAAAAAGAACTTCCATAGGTACAAAACCATTTTAAAAACTGCGCCGTTTTCTGCACATTCATAATAATACAAAAAAAAGATCTACTTAAGTAATAGGCCACTATTTCCTGTAATCGGTCCACTAAAGTGGTAAGTCGGAGATTCCGTTACATGTTTTTGACTTTCTTAGAGTGAATTAATATTGGGAATCCTCTAAGTTTACATTACGTAAAACAGATTTAGAGCAGTAACTGGACAGAACATGTTTTTATTCTCAACGAGGAAGCTCTTGCCCTTCATCACACCTGGTGGAAACTGATGATTATGCTGAAGGTGGAAGGGAACTTCGACTACAAAGGAACTATGGCTTCCTACCTCCAAATTCCGGAACACATTGTTATTTTAAGTAAATTTTGATGAACATAAACCAAATATCCCTCCTACTTCTTCTNAAACGAACGAACGAACGATATATTAAAATAAACATGACACAGACATACTTCGTCGGTTATATTTCGACGATGTAATCTCGGAGTTTGCTCTGATTAAGGCAAGGAAAATAATGTTTTAAGTAGAGATGAAACGGATAGTTGTTTGGCCGGATACCGGATACCGGATATCCGGCCAGCTGCTAGGCCGGATAGCCGGATATCCGGCGGCCGGATAGTTGGCCCATTGTCTCGTTGCATGTCGTGACGAGTTTAGCGCCGCACAGGTGCTTCGAACGCGACCACTATTAGTAGACTAGACTAGTCAAACTTTTTGAAAATCGAATCCGTCCGAATAGAATGTCAGATTTTGCCACTTGTCTAGGGGGCAGATCAATTCGGGCGATTTCGGTTGCCATCGTGATCGTGAGTGTGTGATTAAATAGCGAAAATTAAATTAGTTTACTTGCTGCATAATTTTACTGAACTGCATCATGTCATCAGACCAGATCACCAGTGAAAAAAAGTTCGCCTATTTTATTTAGTGATAGTACAAGACTCGAGGCGTCGAGTCCTTTTTTTGAAGCCTCGAAGCGGAATGGCAAGACTCAGTGAGCTCGGTAGGCTCGGTGCCCCGAGCTTAGCCGAGCTGCGAGCTCTCTGAGCCATGCCTCGAGGCTTTAAAAGAGCTCGATCCTTCAAAAGAGCTCAAATCTTCGAAAAAAATAAAAAAACATCACCTACATTGATTTTTGTTAAAGATTCTTTAAAGGACAATGACCAAAAATGTATGGAGTGTGATCCAAATGTCCACCACTAACGAGAGCTATGTAGTAAAATAGTCTACTAAATACTGATTCATTATAACCAAACCGCAATCAAAAATATGCTGTCAGTAAAAAGTTATGACTGAATGAAAAGTCTGTTTTTTGCCTTTTCATCCGAAAAATGTTCTTGATGTTATGTAATGTCGCATGTGGCGCGGGGTTATAGATGAACTTTACTAAATATTATACTAGCTGTGCCTACGACTTTGTACGCGTGAGAATTGTTAGAAATGTTTCACAATTTTACAACATTTGTCTTTACTGCTCCGCCCCTATTGGTTGTTGGGTGATGTTATTTATCTTAAAACCATCCTTGATAAATGGGCTATTCATAACAAAAAGAATTTTTAAAATCGGACCAGTAGTTCCTGAGATTAGCGCGTAAACTACTACATTTTTTCAAACAGTCATAACTTTTTACTGACAGCTTATTTTTTTTTCGTCCCATACTGAAAGTTAATCTCTTTTTAATGGACTATAAGCCAGTATAGGTCTCATTGGTGGTGGACATTTGGACCACTTTTGGTCATTGTCCTTTACTTATATTTTATTTTGTTGGGAAAAGTTATAATTCTAATCGTATGTAGTCATTATTTGATTTGTGTCCTTTTGTGAAAAACGTTTTTCAAATATGTATTTCATTGTAGGTATCAGAATTTCTGCAGTTTTATTAAATAGAACGATCTTAACACAAAAGTTAACTGGGCTTTCAAAAAGGCTCGAGCTCTGCGAAAGACTCCAAGCTTCATACAAACGAGGCGAGCCCCGGCGAGGACTCGGNGTATCGTTCTTTTTTCTATGCCGACAAGGGATTTGCTTCCTTCTATGTTATATGTATAGAAATGGTGAGTAGTGGCTAAAGGTAAAACCTATAAACTTACATTAATCAATAAATAAAACGCAAAGATATGAATCATTTATAAATATTATTCGTAAATATAGGTCGAATGTGGTACAATTAAAATCAGAGGAAATATTTGTATCAATTTCATATAAAAAAGGAAACATCCAAGCAGTATTTTCTACACTTTATCATAAGGTATCTTAGTACATCAACGGTAAAAATATGTTTACAACTATATAGGAACTTGAGCTTAATAGAAACGGGGTAATGATGTTACTGATTAACATAGAAAATGTAACTTACCTAATGAGCATGTATAGGTAGTTTTTTCAGCGACAGAAAACCCCATTGCTAATGATCAGGTTCTTAAGAAACTTAATGAAACTCTACAAAATTAATCATCTATTTGAACCAAGCACTTAAAATAAATGCAGTTTAACTGAATTTTTAAAAGTCATAAATCGCAAATAATACAATATTAGAAAAACCTAATAACACTAAATATTAGAAATGCGATAGAGTGTAGAAAATAGAAATATTGATTAGATGATGCATAAAACCAATAAAACACGCACACTATACCAAAAATCGTGTTGGTTAAATCTTTGTGTGCTACTCTAGATAAAATTGATCAGTACCTATTTTATTGTTATTTAAAAAGTCTATTATGTATAAAAATATTAAAATGTATTTAAATGTCAAACAGGTTTGTGAATTAAATGTAAATGTCTGGTGGTGGGATATTCAGGTAGTTCCCAATGGTTCAATTTAATATTTTAATAAAAATAACTTCGAAATAGAGTAATTTTACGCGTAGTGAACGTAAGATGTTTACAAATGACTCGAGAATCAAGATATTGCCTCACACATTGTCTGAATTTTCGAAGTTTATGTAATAAATAATAAAATATTCATAAACTATGCATATTTTTGTGTAACAAATGTTTTATTGGTTTTTGCGTAATGTGTCATACTATAAAGTCGCTTGATTAAGCATACAGATGATTATCCTTTACAAACTAATTAATAAGAAATAACCATTTTAATACTTTAAGACATAAATAATAACACATTTTAAACAATTTAACTTGCTTTCTTTGACTTAAAATCTCTTATTACTATTTTGACTACACTAATAGTATAACCAAGTCCGTTATGTTACATTGTTAACTATCCTAGACTGACATAATGTAAAAGGCGGTAGGCAGACAACTCCTTACAATTACAGACTCAGGAACAGAGTGCGGATGAGCTCTAAACATTCATTAGAGCTTCCATCTAAAATATCAGTTATTGTGAAATGGATATTAAAGATATTGGTATTTAGCACTATGTACTGGTGGCAAATGTGTTTGTGAGACAAAGTAAGAACTGGACTTACTATTTATCGAAATGCAGATAAACAACCAACTGTTCCTAAGTTTGATATCAATATCAAATGTGCAGGGACCATGAACAAGCACTGGATTAAGTATTTAATTAGTGCTTTTAACAAAGTAAAATGTAAATCGATGGCTTCTGTGCATAATGAGTTATCTAAAAATATCTTTTTAGGGTTTTAGATCTATCCAATGTACAAACATCAACAAATTCGTCTAAAATATGATAAACATGATTTTCATTATGCGAAAGGCGTCCAGCGATCTGTATTTATCAATTATTCTACTATCAAATTTTACACTACGGCCCTGTGACATTGTCATTGCCTAGTTTATGTTTAACTACACTCTCTGAAACTTAAACACCGGCGCCATTCAGAAGTTACTTGTCCTCACACATTTGTTATGTAGCTGACAAAGTATACTTAGGAGCCATCGACATTTCCTTCATCTAATCTATACACAAGATAACTTTACAATTTTCCGAAAATTCCGCTTCAACTTTACATTAAATTAATCTTAACCCAGACCTAAATTTTGTGACATTTTCTTTGGTTACTTTACACAGAATCACATGGGTAGTTCAAAAAAACTTAAATTATGTAACAGAAAATGTAAGAAAATATAGGTCTAGTACATAAAAGAGACAGCTTTCTTATCTTAACAATGGGAATGTGGGTTGAATCAAATATTTTTTATAAACCAGTAAATTGTAAATATAATATTTATTTTCAGGTTTTATAGTTGTCTGAGTGAGCAATACTTCTGTCAACCCGCATTTAAAACGGACTCTAATGTCGTGACGTCGTAAGCCTATCTAAGGGCTGCGGAACCGGACGCATATCATAAAAGACTTGTTCAGCTGAACTGAAAACAATAAGATAGCTATACCACACCTAGTATACTGACGCTGTACCTACCGGTACTACAGTAGCAAGCTTTACAACACTTGTAACTTACAATAATTGAAAATGTGAGAGCCCAAATTTATCAGAATCAAGGAAAACAATTGGTATATACCGTTTAGGGTACATTGGACTACAAAAGTATTAAACCTGCCTCTTTCAATGTTAAGATTGAAGCTCTAACCAGCCGGTTTCTGAGCTAGGCGTTCAAAATCAACGTTTTGTCTCGCGACGCTTAGATAGTCTGCTGTGATTGGTCGACGAGACTCATATCGACCAATCAGAGCAGTAAACAGTCACTTGACGAGCTGTTGATTTTTATCGCATAGTTCAGAAACCGGCGGTAAATATGACACAATGACATGTTAAATGCAAAATAAATAATACATTTTATCACACCACATTACAAAGTAAGCATTAGATTATAGATCCAACAGATATAAGGAGATTCCTAATTTTTCTCAAGCATTTATGTCATGATTGATTAATTAACACTTCTTAAAACCAAGAATGATTCCCGAAGTCTGAATCTCTGTAAGTCTGGCGGATCGTTTTAACACCTAATACTAGATTAGTATAACGACAACGTACATACACATAAATAGCTACTTGAACGGAACACACGCACGCACACATTAAGACTACCAATATGGTGGCTCGACCTAGCGTAACTTAATAATGAATAAATGATCAGTCTTAAAAAATTCATGACCCCATGTGGATCGCGGCACTGTCTCTGTAAATAATACATCGTGTTGATCCACTCTGTTGCTGAGTCGAACTTAAAACATATACACTTACGAGAGAAGGAAATATTAACAAAAAAGCACTGCTGGTTAAATTTTCAACAAAAAAGACAGCACATTAAAGCGAACAATAATTAAATCACTGTTAAGCGTTATATTACCTAAATAATGGATCCGTGAAAAATCCATACAACACAAGTCATCAGTAATGAAATACCTTCACTACTTGTGGACTTATTGAGTTGATGATTAGATCATCACTCGTTTAATAGTACTTTACCCTATGCCTCAGTAAATTTAATTAAATGACTTATTGAAACATTTCGCATGTCAAATTTTAATGAAAGATAGGTTCACTTATTCTGAGACCTAACTGTAAACTCCCCATATTCTATATTAAGAGGATTTCATAAAAATGCTCATTATTTTAAGCAATACATAATTTATACTAATCTGTTTATTTGAATATTATAATAACCCATGCTGCAATTAACTATAATTATAAGGGTTCCTCCATTAACTAAGTTGGAGTACCCAATAACATGGAATGCTCTAAAATCTGATTTCTATCAGTATTAATGAGTAATATTCAAATAGCCAATAATTTTCTAATGTCAAGTATAAAGTAGCAATCAGTAAACTGGAAATTTTAATACAAACAAATAAGCAGGGTCACTGGTATAAGAACATACATTCATAACCATTAATTGTTACTAATCTACAGTAATCTTCTATATAACTTATTATTTATTATGGAGGATTCTGCTATTTACATCAAGTAAATATTTACTTTTGTAATTGAGTAAAAGTAAGTCAATGACGTCTTGTAGCCGCATGCCTACATAATCCTTACCTAATTAGTTATTCATAACTGTTAGTTGACTAAAACCTTTAAAATTGATTATAATCACATCATCTGATGATTAATAATATTGCTGCCACATTATACACAAACAACCATTTCCTATCAAACTCATTATGCATTATATTGCTTCCATAATCTTTTTTTTTTTAACTGAATGTCTTGTTTGATTGTTATGTAGTAGGGTAAACCAGAGAGTGATTGCCCACTGGTAGTGATTGCCCGCTTTAAGAATAATATTGTCAGGTGCTGACTTTGAATCACTCTAGTTAGATTTGAATTTATTTACTAAGTAGATGGCTCCGAGATCAATGTACAGTAGATTTAAAATTTACAATAGGAAACACTAAAAAAACAGTTATGGCGGATTTTGTCAAGACGGGTGAAAATGTTACTCAAACAGGTAAAGACTTTAACAATTTTACTAAGGAATTAGTTGCTTAGAGGTTAAATTTTTTTTGCAAGTTATTTAATATTCAACTAATGGTGTATAGTCATGATGAAATTATAAGTGTTTTCTCCATTATCAATGAAAATAACTGATAAAATTTGATTTCTAACGGTCATTTTAACGGTGGGTAATCACTGCACGTAAATCTGTATATTTTTAGTTATTGCCCACCATAATTTCAGTTATTGCCATATGTTAATGCATAGTTATTGCCCAGGGCAATTATTATTAGAGTGTTGCCACCATGCAGTAGCAGTGTTTAAGTTGCTCATTGCTAGACTTGTTTTGCAATTTACAGGCATAAATATTGAAATGGTTTTTAATGTCTCATTTTCAGTATGCCAAAGACTCCAAAAGTTCAATATAGCATAGAAAATTTGCAAAAAGCGATTGAAGCTGTACAAGATGTATCCAACAATTTATCTACAAGATGAATTGCTGAAAAATATGGTTTGGCTTGAAAAAATTGATAAAAATTCAAACGCAAATACAAAAAATTAAAATCCTACGTTAAATCTACTAGTGAAAATGTTAATTGTATGGAAATAGATACAACTTTAGGGAAGAATAACCAACAGCTAATTGAACATTCTGAGTTACCACTTGAACTGATATCAAAGAACATAAAAAATAAATACATATATAATTACATATAAATTTCAAATTTTTGCGTCATCTATGTTTTGAAGTAGATGATTCTGTCTCTACCGATTCTGACTCATCAACATCAGCTCAAGAAATATTTGATAATATGTTAATAAGGCCAAACGCAATTTATTTTAAAATTTTGAAGACTGTACTACTAGAATTTAAGTTTAATGTTTTGTTTTGTTTATTTAAAGTCTATTTTGTCATTTTAAAATTGATTATTTTGTTTTAAGATACTGGGCAATTACTGTGCTTTGATGTGGGCAATTAGTGTAAGTAATGGGCAATGACTGTACTTTTTGGAGGATTTTAAATTTATTTCAATATTTTCTAAGTTACGTAAGTTTTCACTAAAAACTGTTAATATTCTGTTTAACAGTTTATTGAGTTATAAGAAAAAAGTCATAAATGGTCGATAATTAAAATACTTTCTTTAATTTTTCATCTCAATGTGTTTGAAATCTTTAAGTGGGCAATAGCTATACGGTTTACCCTATAAAAATTATCACAAAGCTAATATTACCAAATATTTTAAATTCCCCTAATTTCTACTTGTTTTATCTTCGCTAGAAACGTCGTTAAATAATATTGGCACGCGGCACACTTCATACCAATAACCTTACTCAAGTCAGTCATTCCCCAGTTTGTTGAGTATAGATGACCCACGCTGAACTGTCCCGCCAAACTCAATGACAGGGGGGCGCTACCATCGTTCAACTATATGGTTTCCAACATGGCAAAAATCTGAACCAGCGATCCGGTATTGACGGTGGCGCCCCACTGTCAATGTCATCGACAGGACAGTCCAGTATTTTGGAACTATAACATTATGGCTAACAATCCAACAATTATAATAATTGAATTTGAGACTAAACTAAGCACAGCGCCAAACGACGTATGCAACAACGCATCCTGATACGGCTAACTCCTACCATTCTGAATTTGACTTCAACGCGTAAAAAAATAAACAAAGACGCAGACTTATCGATTCGTCACTTTGGAAAAGAGAACTAAATAACTAAAATTTAAAACTATATTCGAGGAGGGTCAGGAGAGCTCGCCCTGCACAAGCAAAAATACGAGCTGAAAAGTCCGAGACACGTTTAACGCAATCACGAGTGCTTCACGACTATGACGCCGGGCCGCGGCGGCGGCGCGCGCTCCGCCTTCTTCGTCAGCGCCAGCGGCGCCTCGCCGCCCTCCTCGCGGAACAGGTGGTCGCCCTCCAGGTGGCGGATGGCCTCCACGATGGTCTCGAGGTTCTGCCGGCTCGTGTTCGGGTTGTACAGGCGGCTCGGGGGCTCGTGCGCCGCCTCGGGCAGCATCTCCACCTCCACGCGGGGCTCCGCCTTGATGGCCGCCTCCAGGAGAGGCGCCGCCGTCGAGGCCGGCTCCGCGACGGGCGCCGGCTCCGCGTCGTCTTTCTCGAGCTTGCAGTCCGAAACGTTGGTTTGATCGAAGTGGATCACGGGGCGAGGCATTTCTCTCCCGTCTGGATATTGATTTTCCAACGTGTGTAGACGCTCCTCGAGTAATCGACGCAATCGCCGCTCCCGTTCAAGTTGGACCCGCACGTCTCCGCTCTCTGCATCTTTTTTCTGAGGAACGCTCGTTACTGTTATGACGGCCACGGGTTCAGGAGACCGAGAGTTGGCTAAAGCGTCGTCCGTAGAATCGGGTATAATGGTAGGAGTCGTGACGTGAGTGAGTATTTCACTTTTTCTTTTCTTTAACGGAATTTCTCCTCCTTCATGTTGATTCAGAAGTCTTTTTAGCTGGCAATTTTGAGATAGAAGTCTCGTTTTTTCTTGTTCCAAAGAGTAAATGTATTCGGCGGTTTGTTGCAGAATAGCAGCCTGTAAATTGAAATTAAGAATTTATAAAAAACTGATATAATCTTTGTATATCAATGAACAAAAAATTCCAATTATTACTATTAGCTCATACATCGACATAAGTCTTTGCTGAACTAATGTCAGAAGGTATGTCGAAACTAAAAATAATACCTAAGATGAAAAGTTCTAACTTTATGCTTAATATTTGAATTTATTTATTAATAATTACTTACTTTGCTTAGCTTTTCTCCTTCATGTCGAGGCAACAATGTGCGTAATGCCTGAAACCCAGCATTAATGCTTTGCATGCGCCTGCGCTCATTGCTGTTAGCAATCTCTCGACGAATTCTTTTTTCTGCTTCCATTGTTTTTCTGCCAGGTGCGGAATGTTTTTCGCCCCTAGAACAATGTAACTTTAGATAAATAAACAGTAACTATAAAATGAAATGACTATTGTAAGAAGTACTATTAGTACTTATTGATGAATACTGCCAGAATAGTCATAATCTATTTAAAATAATAAAGTGAGCAATACATATTATTTTCCCAACATTAATTTGTTTCTGATGTTATGTATACCTATTTCACATTTTATGCAAATTAATTAGTTATTATTTTAGTAACTATGAGAAACTATTTAAGTTAAAATATTTTTTTTACTGCAGCCTCATACGACCGCTTAAGGTTTGATGGGTTATAGTTAAACTTTTATAAATATTATTAAAACACCCCTTTTGTTGGTTTTTTATAAAGTTTGACTAATAATTTGTCATACCATTTCGTTGGTATGATCTCAAATTAACCTTTCCTATTTACAGAATTTGTAAAGTATGTCATCATTAAATTACGATTAATTTCATGAATAGAACAGGAGATCAATTACAATAAATAAATTACACTATCCAAAGTATCCAAACAGATGAATTTAATCAAAATTCAAAGCAAACATTTAATAATACATATCCACATTCTTGTAACTCTTATAATAATCATTCAGATCCATTTTCTGCTACTTATCATAACTATAGTACCTATTTAAAAAAAATGTTTTTAGAAATAGGCCTGGGTAAGGTTTAAAACTTTGTATTTGAGGCACAATATGGAAATAATATACTCTACCATAAATGATAAGTCTTGCTTATGCATGTCTATACATATAAATAAAACTTTCTTCCAGGAACCAAAATGGACGGATGCAGGCAATACTTAACATTTTGTATGCCTATACATATATCCTTAGTGATAAATAAATATAATTACACATTAAAATGAGATTATGAGCACTAAACAATGTGCCAAACATTGGTATTTTATTATGGCATTTTAATTTATTTTAGGTTACATAAATATTTAAATAAATAAATAACTGGGATACGAGTTCTTGGCAACCCGGTGACTGTGACAGGTATTTCCACAACTATTTCAAAATTATTATGGTACAATTAGGTATGTTTGTTGCTTTTTTATAAATGATAAAATTAAGCTTTTGCTCACACATGGATATTATCAGGCTTTTGTATAGTCTCGGAAAATCAACAATAGTTGCAACATAAATAGTAAATACCTAAAATGAACATAATGAATGAAGTATTTACGCGAAATGATACATGTGTTGTGTATGATAGTAAGCTTTATCGCAACAGTAAAGTAGGGGCGCATACTACGCCTATTTGATTTGACCAAACATGGCGGCACAACAGCTGACTACAAACCGGCACGAAGCGCGACTGCAGTCATATGGTCATGATAATGTTGTCTTTCGTACAAAAAACATTGGAATTAGAATTTTCATAGTAAACAAATACAATATTTGAGCTGTAAACGCATCAGATATCAAGATTTAAGACAAAATGCGCGGCCACGCCGGGTGTATCCATACCTGGTAAAAGCGTGATCAGATGCCTCCTCTTCGTACAAGTTGTAATCTTCTACTTCTAGCAAACAAACATCATTATCGTGTAATGACATAACTCAGGTGCACTAATTATGTGTTTTTAAGGATGCTTCATCTAAACTGCACTGAATTTTAAGCACAAAATAGCAAATGTGTAATCACAAGAACCACAATGGCGGGAAATGACAATGACTTCAGTCAGGTGACGCTTCGCGAATTTTGGATTGTACAAGTAGAGTTCACACTGTTTTCACTTTTCACCACACTTTAATGTAATTGTTTAGTTTTTTCACCGTGATTTTATATTATTTAAATGCAGAGTACTATTACAAATAGAAATTAAATTGGAGGGAGTCAAGGGCAACACGACATCGATGCTCCATGCATAGACTACAACCATAGACAACAGACAACTTACACCCCTCTCCCGCCCTCCCATACCTCGACGGTACTCTATGCTTTTTGCGCTTTTTGTAATGAAGAGGAGAGGAGACGGGTTAATTTATCAGCTTGACCATAACATGTTATTCCTCTGTGATTAAAAATGAAATAATCTGAAAGCAAGACCTACAAAATATGAATTTTAGTTCTTATTAGTTTCTCATTAGTTATTCGAAACGCAAAAATAATAAAAAATTCGACAATTTTTTTTTATTGATGACCTCTAATCCATATAATTTATATTATAGCCTGACCAGGAACATAAAAACCCTGGCATAGAGGCGCTTCAATTGCATTTGATAGTGCAACACTGGGTACAGTCGTACCTGTATTAAATTAATAGGCTAACTTTATGTATCAGGATTCAGGATTATAGGCTAATTTAATATTTTTATAAATTAACAAAAAATATTATATCATAGGTAAACTGGTTTAAATAAATTAAATGAAACCATCAATCGAGCAAGTAGGATTTTATTNGGTTTTATTTTTTTTTATAATGTATTTAACAAATTATCAGTTTTATCGGAATTCATTAATTTTCGAATCGAGTCACACGATATCATTCGATGACTTTGCAAATGCAGTACGATGATACGATTACTTTTACGTTGCGGCAATCACTAAAATTCGCTAAAATGACACTAATGACGTTTAAAAAGTGGCACGCTCGGCTTCATACAATTTTTGACACATGCTGCATCTATCCTTATCTGTGCATCCACGACATAAAATAGGCCCCTTATCCATAAAGGCCTCATACACGATTACGATTTCGAAATCGATTCGTACGTATTTTAGGTAGGTAATAAAAAACGGAAGTAATTTAGGAATTAAAACTGTCACGATAATTTATAGGGCTGGGGATACTCGGACATTAGATTATATAAGCTTGGACATGTAAATTATGCGTGCGCTGCGATTATTTGTATTATTTTAGATTTTCATGCATATTTTAATTACTTTCCAACAATTTGAACAAAATAAGTTTTGCCAAGCCAAATCAATGCGAACACATATAATACTTAATAAGAACTTGACAAGTTTCTTCATCCCCTCCCCAACCCACTGTCGGCAAATGCGCCCAAGTCAATCAAATGGGCTCCTTGTCGACACGGAAGAAGAAGATAGGTTAACCCTTAATCGGGGAAATAATTTTCCACCGGGCCAGGATGGACAAATTCAATATTCTCCTGAATGATAACACCTAACAATGCCTATCTTACAGAAAAATAAAGACAAAGTCCCTAGTCGTGAAATATGGTGGTCCTCGTGAAATTTTTGAGAAGAATGTTTTATTTTAGAATTATTATTACATGGAATGCAGTAGTATTGACTATTGCTTTTTTTAATTTTTATTCATAAAATGACAAGCAAAGTAGTAGGATTAGAAGACAAGAACGAGTTTAAAATCAGTTGTCAATTTAATGAAAAAATCACACAAGTACTGATGATTTCGGACTTTAATTAAATTTTGAATAAAGGGACATTATCTCCCGGTTTTTGATATCAAATTTAAAATCCACGCACAAAACTCACTCAATAATCGGTCTCAGTTTTAATTCCTACACATTCAAATTTAAACACTGAATTTAACTTGCTAGTAATTACTTACATAACATAGTTTTTTACAATATGCCGTGGCAGCCTTTAATTAAGACAGCACTTAGTTTTAAGCACTTTTAGTTATAGTAATTTCTTGTATGCGTGTTTGTCTTGTTGGTTGTCCTAATAAATAAAATAAAAATAAAAATAAATATCATTAAGTTAATTTTCGCCCTATGGATTCTCGGAACTGGTATTCCTGCATTGAAAAAGAAAATCTCACAGATTGTTAATAAAGTGCTTGTCTAATCGTATTATTGTTATTCTTTTGTTTATTTTAAAAACTTAATTTTATAAAATCGTTTACAACATAATTTTTGTAATAAAATATAAAATCAAGCCGGTGCGAGGGGATAGCGCTTCACACCTATCGATTGAACTCTCATGCTATGTTCAGCGTTACGCTATTTTTTTTAATGCTTGCTCAAGTTTGTTTACTGGTTGAGTACTTTTAAACAATTCCTAAACTAAAAAAAAATCGGTGAAGAACATGCCTCGGGTTCAATCGGTACTTCGGTAGGCATGTTCTGAGAAGTGACCGCGAGAATCGGGTCCTAATATTCACTCGGAATTGGAGCCCATGTTTGTCTATAATCATATTTTAGCGGGCCACCATAGACTAGGAAGGCGGAAATGGTATCATTATTTTGTCGGTGTATTTTGTCTTGATGTTGGCATCATTGAAGCGTCGCAATCTCAAATAGACCAATGAAAACACAGGGTCAATTTTGAATTTGTTTGAGGTGGGGATTGTATGAGCCTGCCGCCATATTGTGTCGGGCTGTGAGTGCATGAAGTGAAAATTTCACATTTTACAGTGTAAATTCTTTGTCAATTTATTTCGGATTGAAACTCCTAAAGGTAAGTCTAATAATAACGTTAGTCTTTTTCATAAATACTTGATAACTCTGATAAATATGGTGATTCACGTGTAGATGCCGGTTGGTCCTTTCTAGTCCAGTAAAATCAGTCATTCGACCGACAAAATCGACTGCTCGCCTTTCGTTTTGGACCAGCGCATTTATTCTGAAAATTCTAGATATCGGATTCATCATATTTGTTATTTATAAGGACATGGTATTACATGCAGAACAAGTAGATTGAAATCAATATTTAAAAAAACAATTAAGTTCTAAATCACAACGGTTTCTCTAATTCTGAAGTGCGTTCCTACTTACAAAAATTATTATCTTGAAAATATTGTGATCTTGATATTATTGGTGATTAGGTACTGGTTGTCTTGTGACTGGCTTTTATGTGTAAGTGATTTTTCAGCCATTCACACAGCCATTGGGAATGGGAATTCCTTTCTTTGTGATTACGATGAATCATCTTTATGAGTAACTCTTGACCGAGGGGAGTATAGGGCGACGTACTAAATAGGTACTTAGGCCTACTATCGGGTGGGTATGCCGCGTTGTTAACTTACGTTACGGTTAATTCCTCTTCCTAAATATATTACGTCCATATTACTACATGTTAAAATAAATATTACATTGGATTAGTTTAATAACTTAGGGCAATACAGCTGTGAAAGCTGTGTTCCGTTAAAGTTTCAATGATTGTTTAACAAAAAAGTTAATTCTGTTATCAGTTACCTATAAATATCCTACCTATAACTCCTAAAGTAGATGGAGTACTATACCGGCTTTCTGATTTACATTTACACCTTCAAGTTTCTACGACATCTATTGTTGGTCCTTTTTGTATGCCTCCTGGGAATCCGACCTCAAGTCACGATAGTCTGATAAACTCATATTCTCAACACTATCTCTCACTATCCCCAGGCCTATATCAAATTCACTATTTTAAGGTTTTTGGGATATCAATGTAATCGCTTACTACTAGGTAGCTACTATGGAACCCACATAAATGCCATTTGCCCCTCATTTATTTATAAAACGACAGTTAAATTAATCAAATAATACGTATTACCTACCTACGTCGTGATTTACGATTCAAAACAGTAAATAAACATTTGCTACGAGCTGTCGGCGTTTTTCGAGACCATCCAGAACACTTAAACCTTTGATGAGATTTATTATTAGCAATGTTTTACGTAGGTAGGTAGGTAGGTACTACCTACCTAGCCTACTTACCATAATTGTAACTAATTCATTACACATTCTAATTTAGTCAATAACACGTTATCATCAATCGATCATGTAAACAATAATTAATAACATTCCCATTATGTTTTAATGAACTTCCGTGCGAAATATCCCGCTTTAGAATACTTACCTGTCATTCAGTCAGTAAATTGTAGAAGGTAGCTGTTAAAATTATTGGTTACTAGCTTTTGCCCGCGGCTTCACCCGCGTGAAATTTCGTTTGTCACAGATCGTCATAAATTATAGCCTACTATATGTTATTCTGGGTTATAAACAATAATACTGTAAAGTTTCATCAAAATCCGTTTAGTAGTTTTTGTGTGCAAGAGTAACAAACGTCCTGACATCCAAACTTTCGCATTTATAATATTAGTAGGATGATACCAGAACATGAAATACTTATCAAAATAAAAATAATGGTGCACCAACTTCTTGGTGATCATTAATTATCTAGCTTATACTGTTAAATTAATGAGCTCAAGCTGATAGCTGAGCGCAGAATCATAAATGTCGTCCGCGTGCGCGGTTCTGACGGTCGAAGTCCAACACAGAAGATGATGAGTTAAGATATCGTACTGATTTCAACTTCAATGTCTTTCAAAAAACAACAAGACAGGGACAATACTCCTGAAAATATAGAAAGTATGAAAAAAAATCCATGCGCGCTTTCTTCATAGAGGAGCTATCATGTTCAATGTCACGATGGCGCCGAGCCACACGTTTAGATACCTACCACATCAGACAATACAAGTCGAAGAATGTTAAAAATAAAATCAGCAGGACAGAGTCAATTCATAGCAGCTTCTTTCATATTCAATTAAGACGACGAGAAGACCTTGGAAGTATACGTTCGTTGCGGGCGATACATTCGAACTTTCGGGGGCCTTCAAGGACGAATTACCTACATAGGTACTAGGATGTATGAATCATGCTTCGTGGTAATGCATCATGCAGTATGATGCATTTTGAAGCCTACGAAATGTTCGAAGCTCGTGGTTTGTGACCAGCTGAACTAATTTTAGTGATCTGGAGCAACGTGGTCACTGCGATCAGTGTGCTCTCTCTATACAAACGTAGCGGTTTATGCTGGATTTCTATATTCAATCCTAATCCAAATTATACGGATTTGGATTGTCAACTGTCAAATTTTAATATGTGTTTGGCCAAAATAACTGCGGTTTTTGATGTTTTTACATTTTTATATTGTTTATAGGACTATTTAAACAATATTAAAGAGTAAATCCATCGAAAATTTAGGAAATATAATCTAAAAGTGAATTCAACTTGACAGTTGTAATCCGGATTTGGACAAGGATTGAATATGGGAAACGGGCGTTAGACTGCTTAGATTCCATTCCATGCGGCTGGTAGTTTCGCTGCTACCCCTGCAATGATGGCAATATTAGCACAGAATACATAATAGTAGCAACAGAAATTGCACTCCTTTGTGTAGGATCAGATGCCGACATTTTAACGGTAATAATAATAATGCAAAATATCCAATGCACATGGTGCATTCGAAATCGCACCTTACTACTACGCTCACAAGAGCGCATTTTTTTTGTGTTTAGAATTGATCTACGTCACCGCTCAAGCGTCAGGGTTGTATGAGCAAAGTAAAATAAATAAAAACTTAATTTTAAGAAGCATTTATTGTATTTACGATTAGAAAACTTTAATCTATTGGAGTTTGTATAATCGTACCATCTCTAAAGTACCTATTAATAAACTTCAGTGTTGCGATAATTCGAAATTAAACAATCAGTTTTAAAAGGTGTAGTGTCGGAAAATAGACACGGTGAAGTAAAGTTAATGTTTTTATTAGCTAAAATAATTTTTTTGCTATAGTTTTTTGTCATAAGTATTTCAAAACAACTTATTATTTAAAAAGTGTAGTTTTTTTTTATTATTTAAATCACTACAGTTAATTATTATTCCTAAATATTACAATTTTTCATTAAAGAAGAATAACAGTGCTGTTGGAACAATAAACCTTGATTGCGACGATGATCGACCGAGCGTGTATAGAAATACGCGTGTGCAAACAGGCGCGTGGCGGCCCGGACTGATTTGCAACTTGAAGTTGTCGCGCGCTGTAGGTAATTATCTCGGCCGGCATAGGCGAGTGACGGAGGCCTGATATTAGTAAAAAACTGGGAAGGCTTACCGGCCTAACAGATTAGTGGTCTACAGCAGTGTTATCGAAGTGCGTGATCTGCCCTGTTTGACGCTAAAGAAGGTGCTTGATTCACCACAATCACCACATTACCTAGTTCCTATAGGGTGCTTACTAGATTCATAACGTTCTCAAAAGGCGGACATTGTTCCGTGCCTTCCACTAAACACACTCATGCAACACGATAAGTACATCGACATAAATAAATAAGGAATCGTTGTTGTATGGATGATGCGGGGCTTATAATTTTAACTATTATATTTTTCGAAACCTCGAGTAGTCATGAGGACCTAGTTAATAAAGTTTTTCTTGAAGATGTAGGCAGAAACATAAATGAATCAAAGGAGTACCAACAATGGACAGTGCCATAATAGCTTTCCTGTTACCGATGGCTCATATGACTGGTGCAGAATTACTTGTGGTTTAAATCCGCAACCGCTTGCAGCCTACCTATCGATTTTCCACTTACCAGGCTAAGTTGTACATATGTTGTTTTTATTCCAAGAACCGATTTTTTTACCACCAGTTAAGTTTCACTTGCAGAAGTACACAATATTAACGTATATTCTGTATAATGTTTCCAAATAAATATTCTTACGAGGCCGATCGCGGCCGATCATTCGACTTCGTGTTTTTAATAGCGGATTTTCATTTAATTTAAATAAAAATTCTATACACATGATCTGTTATTAGAATCAGGATATTCAGTAGGGTGTAAAAAAACATCAGCTGGGCCAACATAGGGCTAAATGATTTGTTTAGTTCATTAGCGTGCTTAAACACGATCTATGTACCTACACAAACCCTTATTACTTATACTAAGAAGTACCTAATTAAATTACATTAGTTAACTATCTCAAGTTAAATATTTTTCAATGAAATGATAAGTAAATATAAAAAATAATTAAGTCGAATAATTCGAAGATAATGAAATACCTACATTATTTACATTTATGGTAGATAATAAGTAATTTAGGTATTCTTTTTATACATATTTCTCAACAGTAAAACAATTAAGTTTCACAATTTATTTTCTACTCGAGCTAAGCTACCTAAGTTGAACCTAATTTGGTAATAAAACTAGAACGTAAAATAAAGGACGCACACGTAATTTACAAAAAAAACTATGCACTTATTCATACTCCAGCAACCAAAACAGTTTTTCAAGTTAGACTGCGCAAAGCTTCAAATCCTCGATTTCAAAAAGAAAGTCTTTATCATTGTATCTTTGTAAATTTTGTAATCTGAACTAACCTGAGTCATTTTGTCATAGACGAGAGATAGACTTGCCGGCTGCGAAATAGGTACTCACCCATGTGTCCAGTGTTGAAGTTTTGGAACCAATCTGCATAATCAAAAGTTGATCGCCCTTAACAAGACCGGTCGCATTTAATACCGGCTGCCTAAAACTTACAGCGCTGCGGATATTATATCATCATTCGATGAGCAGCAGTGGAGTTACCTTTACGATTGAAAATACGAGGCGCAAGTCAAAGCCCTAGAGACATTGTTGTTAAAATTGTCAGCGTATTCCTCTAACAACCTCTTTTCCATTACGTTCCGCCTGGTGAAATTTAAAAAATTGCTTTCTGGTCATGAGCAGACAGAAGTTTCTAAACCAACTTTTCGAAAATGACCGATTTATACTAGAAGAACGTAATTCGATGGAGACTGAGATGAGTACAAGACCTTTGGTTACAGCTAATGTCTTTAGTTTTATGTCTCTAAAATAATTGAATATACGAATAAGATTGTAGAAACGAGCTATCACAATATGACCTTATTATACCGTATTTTATGCATTCTTCAATAAATGTTTCGTATGTGTTCGTTCCAGGTAGGATCAGGAGATAGATACTTAAGTAATAATAATAATATTCCTTCTGCCGAAGTCGGGTAATAAAGAAAGGCGTGCCCAACTTATCGCTGTAGGTTTTGCTAACATAATCGAAAGTCATAGTCATAGGAAGTGCGGTTAGTAAAAGAGCTTTAAAGATATTTTTTGTTACCAGATAAACTTTTTGACTGAATAGAAAAAAAGTTAGATTGTGAGTTGGTATTGCTGACCTTCAAGCGTGTTGAAATTAAAAAAAGAACTACCTTAACCTGACTTGTCACTCAAGACAATGTTAAGGTTGAGTGCCTGCCCAATAAAGTTAGAAAAAAGGGGCATGAAACAGGTCAATAACCCCAAATGAATGTTAAGTTAACGGACATGATGACTGGGCGGGCTGGGGCCTGTCTGGGGCGTAAGAGTATAGCCGCCATGCCATCTTCTATTTAGAAACATCTCATTTTTTATCGCGATCTTATAAGAATGAAGATACTGGTTGGAAGTTGAAGAACAAATTGTCTTCGCGATAATGTCGGATCAAGTTCAGAGTCTAACCATTTCCATATTCTCACTTCATCTGCTTCCCTTACTTTCCCAATACCCATGTTAGCCAGGGTGTGAAAATTACACCACCACACACAGTACATGGTGAAAATTAAATAACATGTATGTACTTAACTACAAAAATGCCAACATCGTTTGGATCTACACTTGTAGTGGATAGAGCTTCTGCATTGGATCACTTTTAGAAGTGATTTTATGAGATAATTCCAAACCAAAATCGCGCACAATGGCCGAATCATGAGGCTAAGTGCGGTATTCGATTGCCCTGCAAAACTATGTTAAACTACGTTTTGAAATTCGTGATCAAAAGGACAATGGGCAAAATGGTACCCGGCTCCAATAGATATGTGTCTAGTATCGTTTGAAAGGTCTTACCAAGATGAAAAACTTTTACTATGACCACCAGCCTCAGATCTGGTTGTGTACGAAGATATACATACTTTTTTGCAGAATGGTACCCGGCTCCAATAGTTATGTTTGTAGTGTTATTTGAAAGGTCTTACCAAGACGAACAACATTTACTATGGCCACCAGCCTCAGATCTGGTTGCGTTCGAAGATAAACATACTTATTGTGTAACCTAAGTATCATACAGTATGAAGGGGGACGCGCTCGCGGCAGGGCACCGACGAGATGGTCGGACGCGGTGAGGAAGACGGTGGGCGGGAGTTTGCATCGTGCGGTCCACACAGCTTATGACCGCAGTCTGTGGAGGAACACTATCTGTGGTCGCGATCGTCATCAATGAGGGACCGAGGAAGACGAAGAAGATGTATCATACGTGTCCATCGTATGGTACTTAGGTTATGCGAGGCAGGAAGGGTTTACTGCTCCAGCATCCTTCCTTAACTCTTCATGGGGATAATTGTGAAATAAATATTTTTATTTAAAGAAGTACTACCCCCATAAAAAGTTACACCTAGGAAGAACCTTGGATTAAAATGACATTTCCATACCAAATGACAATTTAAGCCAGAGTTCAACTAGGGTGTAACTTTTATTAATAAAGGGGTTAAAGTTTTATTACTTCTTAAGGGTTTTATTATGGGTTGCTAAAGCGAATAAACCCACAAGAACCAATAAGTCCACCCACAAGATGGACCGACGACCTCATAAAGGTAGCGGGAAGGCACTGGATGCAGGCTGCCACCAACCGGCCATTGTGGAAATCATTGGGGGAGGCCTATGTTCAACTGGACGTCCTATGGCTAAAATGATCATGATGATGATGATGAAAGCGAATAAAGGGCTAATAGCTTGGGTAGTTCATCGTAGGTATAATCCTTTCCTTTTCAATGCTTCTTTTAGTTATGGGTCATTCTAAGTTAAGAGGTAATGTGTTGTATGGAGCGACGGCACGGCATTTTTTTAAATATTTTTACTTAAGTATATATCTGTTTTATGGAAACCTTTAAGTTGAAAATGTTTACAAAGTGGCCAGTCAATTTGTTGGTTTTTTCTCGTTTTATAAGCGACCAGGGTAAATACTCAGTCCAGGGTAGAGACAAGGTGCACAGGGGAGGAAACATTATGGACAGGGAAGAGACATAGACATACTAAAAACAGTGTTATTTTTAGGAATCAACTTTATTTATTTATTTTAATTTTAATTTTGAATTATTTATAATAAGACTTTTCATTTTTTAGCAAACTTTGTTAACAAAAATGTTTTTTAAGCCTAGGTACAAAACATAAAAAGGTTCTTACATTTACTTTACATCAAAACAATTATCAACAGTCAATAACGAAATNTTTTTATAATAAAATTAAGTGAGCATTTAGAAGACATTTAGTTTTAAGCAATAAATAGGTTAATTAGGTAGTTAGAATAAAAAAAATGTACTTTTTTGCCCTTGCCATCGAAAGTACCTCTTAACTTAGAATGACCCTTATATTATTAGATTGTAGTCATAATACATACTCGTATACATGGATGATTGTGTTATACTTTCATTATAATACTTAGTGGAATTACTGCTTTCAAAACGTGAATTAGAACTGGCCCCATAGCAGACATTTTCCTACATCTAAAGGCCTTTTAAAATATATATTGGTTATGGCTATTGGAGCGGGTACCACTTTCCATACATTTGTGCCCATCATCCTTTCATCAAAATCATTTTCATCCGAAATGGTGATCTGAAAAGTCAAATCGTACCTCTCTTTCTTCATTTAAACTTTACTCTAGATATTATTTTTATCGCATACAAATTATCCTTATTCCATCCAACTTAATATGAACTAACATGAATACTATCTTACATACACAACAGTGTCGAATTCGTCATAACCCCCCGCAAACATTGTATTACTTGGTAGCAAGCAGAGATAAGAATTGATCCTTGTGATGACTAATGTCACTGGTATTTGTGGTGTTTATTAGTGAAGAATGGGATTGTGAACGATAAATGCGACGATGCGCTAGGAATTCGGTCCACTGCTAATGACCAATGATAACTCATTGCTTCTACTCTCAGTTTCGTTTCCAACTCCGTGATAGTAGTGTGGTCGTCACGCCTTAGTTCTCTCTCGGGCATTACAATTACAGTAAGTTATTACTTAAAATTTCTTAAGAAAAAATTCGTAGTTCCTAGTTTCCTGTGGAAGTCAGTGAGCACAAGTTCTCTATTTAATATTATTTTCTGTTAAAGCCAAAGGTAGGTGCGTTTTAATAAATAAAGCAGTTAAAATAAACCTTATTCCTTTGTTAAGAAGTTATTGAAATGTAACAGCGTTTGGTTTTCAAATTAAACAAAAGGAGTGAATCCAGAACATCGGGTTAAGTTTTCTCAAGTGAATGTATGGTCATGCATTGTGTGGACGAGACAGGTAACAATGAGTACACACGCGCTCGTTGCAGTTTGTTTATCTGCGCACTCGCCGGGGGTGCATCGCGTTTCGCGGTGCAGTGTCGTCGAGAGCTATTTCGGTCGTCGGTTAACATTTATTTCGAGCGTATTCCCAGTGCCGTGACCCACTGTCATGCTTTGTATTCCAAATCGGTTCCCTGTACCTGCATTGTTTATTTTTAACTGAACCAACCCAAACAAAATGTTAACTGCAAAAATATAACACGCTAGGCGCTATGACTAGTTCTTGAATATTTGTAAAATATGGTTTGTTAAGTTTTTTCTTAGTGGAAGTAGGTATATGAAGGGATTTCGGTTCCGAGCATACTTCCAAATGTCTTTTACTGATCAGGCGGTGCTATTTCTTCAGAGATAATAAAGTATTTACTTAACTCCCTTATTTGACTGTGAATTTAGATGTAATTCTACTTTTTCGTTGTTCTCAGGTAGTCAACAAACATGGGTGCTAAGCAGAGCAAGCGCTCAGTCGATATAAGCGGCAAGGAGTCGGAAGGAGCCGGCGAAGTTGCAGCGGCAGGCGCGGGGGGCGAAGGCCGAGTCGAGGCACTCGGCGATGCAGATGCGCTCAAACCCCAGCTGAATGGCGACGCACATATTCACGAACAGACAGTAACGTATTTTTATTTATTTTATTTTTATCTTCTCCAAACGATGGTCATGTTTCCTTTGTTATTCTAATACCTTCGTAAGTAACATGCTATTTTTGGTATTAAGCTATTTTCGAATGAACTGGCATTTGCCCCTGCAACTTGTTAGCGCTAAAATTATCGTCAGCAGTTCCTTTTGAAGTACCTACCTGCTCTACAGCTAGTCTCGTGGGTAGACTAATGCCCGGTTTCTTACCTCGGCTATAAAACTGGTTTTATTAATCTTAAGAATCCTGGCGATCAGTTTCATCAACCAAATTTACCAATACATATTGTAAAGTTAAACAAACCATTCCACACAAGTCTGTGGAAGATAAAATATTTCGGAATAAGATCAGCAGTCACGAAACCTGTCTTTTTAGCTTTAGTGATAACAGGTACATGATGACGTTTTCAATAAACAATACGCGTTTATACACAGACAGGAATCGCTAATGGCTGCTAAAGTTCACTTTCCAGACACATCCCACGACTTCCTGTCCAGATAAAGGCTTCTTGGACAATCATACTGAGACCTTACCATTGTTCTCTTTAGAAACTAAATTCGAGTTTCGAGAACTAGTGTTGTTAAATTATAGCGAATAACATAATCAACTTGACAAGCTAATTGAAATATTGGTGTAGGAGGCGGTAGATAGTTTAGTTAGTGATTTAAACAACTGAAACAATGCCAAGTTAGTCACCGTCAAGATAACATAAATCATTTTTTAAACATTTAACAACATTAGATATTGTATGTACGAGTCTTCCATCGACTGAGCCCATGGTCCCAGTCACAGAATTGACTTCTTAAATATATTTTTTCTTTCACCAATGTGCATAAATAAAAGATCTATAAATTGTTTAGAAGCCGTTCGACAGCTTAATAATGAAGCCTTGAAATGATTGGTCAAATTGACAGATCCTTTCTTTATAAGTCTCAAAATAATGCGTTTTCTCTAAGCGTGTTTACAGACACTTTGGGGTTGACCTCTAGTAGGGTGTAAGGACGACTCGCTTCCAAATTGTTTACTAAGAAGCTGCGCCATTAGCGCGGAACGTAAACGCACGCCGAATCGAGACTAAATGATAATTATCATGCATTTTAGGTCTTAAATTTTAAAGTGATGGCCAATTAAAAGGCGCATTTTCGATTTAAAGTCCATTTGGAAATATTTTTACAATAGTACCGAATCTTTGTGACTATGAGTTTACTTGTTATTGGACTATACGTAGACTAAAAATGCCAAGAGGAATAGTATTGAAGTTATCACTTTTAACTTGCAACTAGCCTGCTATAATCAAAAAGACTACGCTAGTGTTACATTACTATAAATAATTACTTGACCATAATTTTTTGATAATTCAAGGACAAAGAGAAACAACTCGATAGTGGCACACCTGAAAATGAAAAGGACGCGACCACTGAGAAGGAAGGAAAGCAGGAAGACTCCGACAAGGAGAAGGCCGAGACTCCCGTGACGAATGGCGACGGCGAGGAACAGAAAACGGAGAATGGAGACACCACACCCACTCCTGAAGATGCGAAAAAACCCAAAAAAGAGAAGGTAAATCTTATCCAATTATCCTTTTGATCTAAATTTGTTTTTGCGTCTTGTTTCTTACCGTTTTTTGTTAACTAAGTTAACTTTATATCGTTTACTTCTGATAAAAGATGGTTCAGATTTAACTTAAGCATTATGTTGTCGACAGGTGAAGAAGAAATGGTCGCTGAGGTCGATCAGTTTCAGCAGAAAGGACAAACCCAAGCAAGAAAAGAAGCAAAAAGAAGAGGAACCGAAAACAAATGGTGAACCTGAAAAAGTACCTGAGGAGGTATGTATATTTTTTTCCAACAGTATTTACGGCCTTTACGGTTTATTTACGGTCAGCTTACTTAACGTTTACTACAGACAGAGTAGGTACCAAGCACTGCGCGTTTTCAAGGCCAAAAATCCAGCTCGTCGTCAAATATTGGGCCAAGAACAAACTGATTTTATGTAAACAAACCAAATATTGTGATAAATCTTTTTCTCGTAAATACTATTTGTTTACATAATAATTAGTTCTGAATACATTGTTATTTTATTAATTATGAATAAATATTGAATAAGCATTAAAGCACCCTTATAAAGATAACAATTGACAATGGAAACTATCAAACCCAAATATTTAATCAAAGTTTAATGACAGCACAATGCTTACTTATTATTTTGCTATCATAGCCCAAATTGAATTGAATCCATTTTTTATTTTTGTAGTCATATAACATATCGGTTATTATTGTTTCCAAAGTTAGACTTCACAAAACAACGTCTCTTGTGCTTTTTTATGTCCTAAATTGTATATCTGCTCGATTTGCTTTAGGGAGATAATGCGAGTGTATAAAAATAGTTATATAAATAATATAAAAAAACGCAGCGTGGGACGTCCACCCACAAGGTGGACCGACGACCTGATAAAGGTAGCGGGAAGGCGCTGGATGCAGGCCGCTACCAACCGTGCGATGTGGAAGTCATTGGGGGAGGCCTATGTTCAGCAGTGGACGTCCTGTGGCTGAAATGATGATGATGATGATGATGATAAAAATAGTTTCGATTTACAATTAGGTCGAGGCATTGGTCTTCCGACGAGCAAATTAAAAGCTATAATGTGAAATCATGCACACGTGTTATTACAACTGGTACGAGGGCGCTCGCACGATTCACGCGTTGTTCTTCCTAACGGTCTTTTTTTTTTCACACTAATCCATAATATCTTTGCACATCATGTCGTAAACACGTGTTATCGTAACAATACCCCAAACCAAGTGCAAAAAATGTATTCCATCTTTTTCTAAACATACAGGGTTATTGCTAATTCAATGTCCTACTTAATCGTACTAATAAGTGAAAATAAAAAGCAGCAACTGTTATTTATGGGCGAAAAAAATCGCAATTAAGTGGCTTTATATTTTATATGAAACCAAAAAAGTATACTTTGCACTGTTTACTAATAAAATCAGTGTCTGGTAATTAATTAACGAGGTGTAAACCAATAAAATGAATTTATCGTATCATTGAAAAAGTTGGCTCACATAAAAGGTGTCCAACAAAGTGTTGATTTTCCTCGCGTTTATCATTCAATGTAACTTTCTCAAAATTAGGAAAAGAGCTCATTTCTTTTGATGCCACTGAAGTAGAGCCATTCTTATTTCTAAAATTGACTTTTTGAAGTTACTTAAATTAAAGTTTTACTGTTTTGAACCTCGATGCTAAAAAGAAATTCGATAGTACCTAATCTCAGAATTCACAGACCAGTTCCCTAAAAAATAAAATTAAACAAAAAATCAGGGGAAACATTATAAAATTTATAGCTGGTCCTCACAGTCGTGTTATTAATGCAAAATTCTGATTAGTTTGGTTTATCATTGATTCGGGCATTACGACCTTGCGCCTCGAGCTCATCCGACTGGAAACAGCCGATTTCTATGACAAGTAAGTATTGCGTCGTAGTGCATTGCACCCGAGCCGGGCGGGCGCGAGAAACAATGCGCATTATAATTCAAAGTGGTGCTATATCCGTGCTAACCAAACTTGAGCCGCCATTGTTAACGACGATATCGCGACACTTAGTTCATTGAAGACTCGTGACGGCATCTTCCCTTACGATTTTGTCTAAATACAAGCGTCTTTTATTGAAAGTTACAACCGAAAGACGCAACACTTAATAAATTATGTTTACTTCTCAAAATGTTTATTATCTTTGAAAATATCATTAAACTCTCATTGTTAAATGTATGTATAATGTGAATCAATGTTTTGTCCATAGTATAAAGACTGAATTTACTTATTAACCACATTTATTAGCAAACTTGAACATTAAAACATTTAGCATTAATATACGCGCGAAAATACCGAAAGTCAAGTGTCAGATCGTAGTGTAGTGCACGAGTCATCGATTGAATAGTGATGGAATGCGTAGATTCGATTTAACCCGCTAACAATAGATGTCCTTTTTCACAATGTCCTTAAAAATTAAACACCAATAACATTTTCGATTTTTATTCTGTTTATTCATTAGATATTCGATGGCGTTTATTGTATACCTAACTAGAATACTAATTTGAGTCTGTGAAAGTGTGTTCTATTTTATATAGAATTTGAAATCTACAATTTACATGAATTATTTATACTTACAACAATAAATGCAAATTAAAAAAATCATTAGCAAGTTCCTCTATTAATGCTATTTTAATACTTGGTTACTCGGTCGTAACGCTGAGTCCCGGTAGTGGTCTTCCGGCAGTAAATAAATACACATCGCTCGGCTTTTGTTGATGTTGTTACACTGTAATTTTAACGAAAATGTAGGTGAAACAAATGTACTTAATGTATACTTGTACGGGAATTAAAATAATAGCAATTATTATACCACAGACCCCTAGTCTCCAGGAACTGCAGGATAATATAGGCGCAGTTGAAAATACTCTTGTAACTTTGAATCTAACAAATTTTTGAGTTGTGAAAAAGATTTGCTGTGATAGTGAGTACGAATTCTCCTATAGATATAGGTAATTGAAGAAACATTAATTTGCAAGCATATTGGAACTAAAACTAATTGGAGCCGTATAAGAACCTACTCTAACTAATTCACTATGTAAAGTACTTGAAACATTGAACTAACAGTCAGTCTTATCTTTTTAAACTACCTACCCGAAGAATAAAAGTTAAATCCTTTTGCCTTTTGTCACGTCAAGCTGATTTTGATTCACAGCTCCATAGACTCTATACATACTACTCTGCTGCAAAACACCTTACCTTGACTCGTTGGTCCGCAAACTGTGATATGATTTAGGGACAGTTTTACATTTTCAAGTGCAAAAAGTCACGGGGCCTGTTGCAGCAGGTTTTGCGACGCTATTAGTCGTAGGCGGTGGGTCCGGTCCGGATCTCTATCGTTCGCAGCGAGCCAATAATACGTAGGAGGTCGACAAACCGCTTCTCCCGTCTCAACCCTACTTCCTCAGCCTCCTGCGCGTCCTTTGGCCATTATTGCTGACCTAATATTACTGGTATTCAATGCAATGAAGTTCTTATACACATATACCTTTATTAATCACAGGAGAATAAGTTATTTTAACACCCTTGTGTTGAACAAAAGCGCGTGCCAATTCATGGGGGCTGCTTGATTTTTATATGGGTTCTTCTTTACATTACGAATTGCGTTTGTTTGTGTTGTATTGCATATTGCAATTTGCATTGTTCAGTTAAGATATTAAACTAGTATTGTAAGCTGTAACTTTTTAATACTGTAGTGAGTATTCACTTCTGGACTCGCAAGTCTAGCTAGGTAATATCATATCTGAATCAGAAAATACGTAAAATAAGTAGAATCATGCGCTAAAGTAACTTGAGCGCATATGGGTCTTCTTGCATGTTTACCAAATGCCACGGCGTCGCGCGACATGGCAGCACGGCTCATCTGTCGTATTTTCATAATACGGCTGTTGAATAGAGCATTGCCATAACAAGGAAGGGCTCCATTTCCTATTGACAATCAGGCCACTGTGTGAAAAAAAAATGATGAGACTGCATTCTTCTGGAATCAGCCATCTTTTATTGGGACTTAAATTCCAGCGCATTGTTGTGCAATTAGGATAAAGTCCAGCGTTTTGTCGTTGAAATTTATTGAAGTATAAAACCCAACGATATTAAAACCACAATATATTTCATTCTATAAATAAGTTGTTATTCTTGACTCACGTTGTTTACTCACAAGTCAACAAAGGGCTTCATAAAACTGATTAGTTCGGATTCCCTTCTATATGTGGTTGTTTGTTTATCACATTACTAGTCTGGCTGTGTATGACTGGGGCCTGGAATATGCTTGTCCCTTATAAAATATAAAAACTGCATCAAAATTCCTTATGTAGTAAATAATTAGCATGTTAGTTAAAAAAAAAACAAGATGGTAAAATAATCAACTTATTTCAAATTCTTCATTGCTAATTAAGGGATGTAGAGTATGTATTTTGATATTAAATACTGTCGGGCTTTTCAGGGGCATTCGGATTGTAGTTAGAATATTTTCGGTCTGTAATTGTTAGATTTCAAAATTTACTCTTAAAGGTTTTCTTTTAACTGAAAAGGCAATACAGCGGAGAAAACAAACTTATTGTGATAACTCGTCTGTTGGATCGCGTAAACGGTGCCAAGACAGGGCGTTCAACTAGTGATAGTAGCTAGCTCGTATAAGTTATTATATGATAGTGCGAGTGAATCGAACAGGGCGCGATGCTATCTCCGCCGCGCCGTTATTTATTGCCCATGCAAATTACAGCCGTTCGTTGGTCACCGGTGCACCTTGTGTTTATTTTGTTTATTAATTCCAGACACTAAAAATGTCTACGGTATACCTATTGGCTTTTTGATGCCCGTAGTAGGTACATTGTGTGAATTTGTGTGCCATTGATGCAATATTTTCATCATTGCCAACAATCGAAGCGCAAATGTGACTTTGTTTACTTAATGCATCGATGGAGAACACCCCTTTGGATTTTTAGTAGAGCGGAAATTAATTTCGGAGCTCATGAGGCACTCGTACTCGTGCCATTGTAATCACATTGTATGACTCATCGTGGTTGCCATCGTTGTTCATATACCGTTACCACTGTTGGATGACCTTAAACAAAAACATATTTAAATACCTCTTTCCTCGGGTCATATCATGTATGGACTAGAAACTACATCGCACACACAGATATTTGACGCTACAAGCAGCTATTTGACTACAATCGTAGGCACAGTCTGCAGCGCAAGAAAGTAGCGATGACCCCATTTGTATTATTGTTCTCTAACCTCAGATACACTATGAAAACTCCACATAAATTCGAAGATTTACTGCGTATATTACCACGACTCGTACCAACGACGCGATGTGCTCATGCAAACGTGTGTAAAGTTCAGGCCAACCTGGAATCGTAACTAGTGATTTCGATTCTGGGTACACAATATGCAGTAACTAAACCTATAGTACTTTATAGAAAATTGGCTTGAAATTATAATTACGATTAAAACCGACATAATAGCAATAAATAACAATGTTCATTTCCTATAAGTACCTACGTGCTTAAATGAAATGAATGTCCCTGTTTACGGCGGACCGTTAACTTCCCGTGCTCGCACAGTGCTCGAAGTGGAAAGTATTGTTTTAGTTCCGATTCCGTTGCATTCGGACGTTATTCGGTTATGTTTCCTTGCGAAATGCGAAGACCTTGCCGGATTATAAATCCACCATCAGCATCGCCTGGAAATGAAACGTAATATTTATGCGGAAATTATTGCAATGAGGGTGTTCGCGTATGAAAAATCCGCCAGATGGCAATACGTAGACGCGAGGTCCAAATGCTGCATGATTGGTTATTTTTGACATGACATTGACAGATGTGTCAAAATCCACCAATCACGCAGCAGTCAGACCCCACATCCACGTCCCGCCATCTAGCGGATCTTTCATTCGCGAAAACCCTCATTATAACGTTTAAGATTAGATGGAAACCTTAAAACCTACTGGTGTATGTTTAATTTTCAACCGACTTCAAATTTTTTGTTGAATAGGTATTATCAAAAGGGTGGTTTCATGCGAATTTGAAGAAAATATTTCACCCCCAAGGGTGGAAAATTGGGGATGAACTTTTTTATAATATACATTAAGAATATGGTCTCAATGTACTGCCTACCTTCAGTGGTAACATCAAGGTAATAATTAGTTAACTAAAAAGCAAGAAATAAGTAAAATTTTATAAAAAAAATAAAACCGTGTGTAGTGTAAGTTTTTTGGAGTCGGTTTTATTTTTTTTATAATCAGCTTTACCTTTTTGATTTTTCTTGCTAGTAGTTTCTATACCACACCCATTTCCAATGAACTGAACGCGCACTAATTCTGCAAATATTATGACTTAGATATGACGAAAACATGTTTATATTCCTCCATCGTTATGCTTCTCTCACCCGCCCTTACGCCAAGTTTGCCTGTTTCTTTAGGGACACATTTTCATGTTATTGTGAAGAGACTGGTTGAACCACTCTTTTTTTATATAACTTGTTCACTTGAACAGTTTTAGCGATGGAAAAATGTGATCTGCTCACATCACTAGATTAGTGAAATACTCGAGGCGTGTCTTTCTACCTCAGTAAACAAAGACGTCCTTGTACGCTAGTGTCGATTTATTGTCCACCACAATCCTGCGGTTGCAATTGGATGTATGGATTATTATTTGAATAAATATAATAAAATAATATTTACTGATAAATTTAAGATTATTTAATCTACTATATAAAAATAAGTCGGGTTTTCCTCCCTGACGCTATAACTCCAGAACGCACGAACCGATTTCCACGGTTTTGCATTAGTTGGAAAGGTTCGGGCTCCGTGAGGTTTATAGCAAAGAAAATTCGGGAAAAGGGGGTAAAACGGGATCCACGCGTACGAAGTCGCGGGCGGCCGCTAGTTGCAAATAAATATACTGAAATAACTTTTAATTTTGGCAATATTTTCCGTATTTCGTTTTTAAGGCAGATTTTTTTTGACACATTTAATTGACTCGTGTCTGAAATAATAACATAATTATTTCTGAAAATTGACTTCGTTTCGTCGTCGTCGTTTTAGTCTAGAATTTAAAAACAAAATCCTGTCCCTATTAAGGCCGATAAACTGATTGACCGTTTAAGTATAATAACGAAATTGTTTTCTTCGATCACATTTTAGATTTAGGTAAATTAAAATTGTAAAATCATCAGATGAGATTGAATTATTATTGCGAAAGTATAGCTAGCACATCCATAAATTCAAATCCAAAAATGTAATAAACAAATGAATTGCTAATATACCGAGTGTCAACCCTATTTATGACGACTGCAATATAATATGTCTTTGATCCTGACCATTGAAGGGTAACTGCTTATCTAAAAATGAACTCCAATCTTCCGTTACGAATATTGCGGTATAAATTATAATGCGCACTTTGATTTCCCTTCAGTCTCGTGAAGTCCTCCATAGGGTACACCTCTTATTATATTTGGTATCATGGCCGACGATAAGGTACCTACACTTAGTGCTGTTTTATAATGTTAAAATGTGAAGTGATCTAGAAAAAATATTTGTATTTTGTCTTGGTTTAACTGTGAAAATTCATTTTTGTTTCATAGACGGCTGAAGTAGTCCCTGAACCGGTAGCAACCGAAGTTCCAGAGGTGAAATCTGAAGTCGAAGCTAAGGATGAGAAAACTCCCGAAACTCCCGTCACTGAACCTATCACAAATGGAAGCAACACACCCGAGTCACCGAAAGAAGAAATACCAATGGCTGAAGAATCAGCTCCTGTCGCGAGCCCCGAATCCGACAAAACTGAGGAAGCACCCAAACCTGAAGCGGAGCCAGAACAGCTGCCCGTCAATGGGCTGTCTCTAGAAGAGAAAACTGAAGCGCCTGAGGTTCCAAAGGTCGAAGAAAGTCAACCTGATGAATCTCCTGCTGAATCTACTGAAACCGCTCCTGCTGTTGAAATTCCTGTCCAAAAAGAGGTTTGTGTTGAACAAATGCCTTTGATAGAGCCCACGCCTCCACCACTCCCCGCAAACCCTCCTCCCTCTTCAGTGGCGTCTTTTGCAGCCACCACTATGGCACCAGACTTGACAGACGCTTCGCTAGCTAACACCACTGAAACCGCAAATTCTACACCACCCGCAGTCCTAGATACTAAAACAGACACGTCTAATGAAAATACCACTGAAACCCAAGCTGATCTAACTAATTCCGAAAATAGCTCTGAAGTTCCCTCATCATTACAAAATACGGTTGAACAAGCTGAGGAAACAGCAAAGCAAGCCGATACCCTACCTAGCGAGACGGCTGATAAAGTAGAAGTTATTACCAGTTCTCCTGTTGATGAGAAGGAATCTTCATCTTTAAACACGAATAATGAATGTGATGTTGTTCTCAAGGAGCAAACCCTACCTAGCGAGACAGCTGATAAAGTAGAAGAAGCTATTACCAGTTCTCCTGTTGATGAGAAGGAATCATCATCTTTAAACACGAATAATGAATGTGATGTTCTTAAGGATCAAACGGATAATGCTTCTAACGTAATGGAAGATCTAGAAAATAATGTCGTCAATGATTCCGACAAACCAGAAGATGTTTGCAAAATCACACCAAACCAGGTGGCATCGGAGGATACTGCTGAAGAGAGTGAAGTTCAAGATAATGCGGAATCGCCCGTCGAGCCCGTGTCCGAATCTCCCGTAATCGCTACACCTGTGCCGGAATCGGTAACAGAATCGCCAACCACCGAAGACTTGCCGCCTCCTCCTCCGATGGATGACGTTATCGATGTAGTAAAAACAGAAGTCTCAGTGGAACAAATCGAAACTTCCGAGCAAGAAGTGACGCACCAACCGAAAGAGATCGTAGTCAACAGCAATTACTCGAACGACGTCACCGAAACGAACCATTTAATCGACGACGAAACACTCAACGGCAACGAGGAGACGGAACACGAAAACCTAAAGAACAAAATAAAAGATTCTCTCGGCAACGTGATCGAGAGCATCGAGTGCAACGGCAATACCGATGAGGCGGCCACCGAGACCGCGGCCCCGGCGAAGAGCTCGCCCGAGGAGTCGCTGCCGCCGTCGCCGTCGGAGGGGGAGGCGGGGGCGGAGGCGTCGGACTCGTTCCCGGCGCCGCCCTCCGACGCCACGCCGCCCGCCTCGCCGCCCGAGCCCGACTGCGCACAGGTGAATACCGCCCGGGCCCGCCCGCCCACATGTAGTGGATTAGTCCCGTAACCTAAGGAGCGTTTGACACCCCGTTAACAGTTCTCGTATTTAGTTTCATGTGCATCTTCTCTGCCAGCATGTGTGGACAGTCAATAACCGGAAGACGTGTGCTCGTTTGATACGTTTCACAGTTTGTTATCTACCATACGTGGCCGCAGGCCTCGTCCTATCCTTGTATCCTTTCCCCGATGCTTGATTCGACTTTTGTAGAATGTGTGATTAATAAGTAAACTTAACATAGCATGACGAGTATAACTGAGCTTCAGTGCTAACACTTAATTTACTTTTAGTATGTAAGTTGTATTTCAATATTGTAATTTTGACGATTCACAAATATCTATCACATTCCATTTAAAGTATTTATTATAATTTATTTAGAGCTAGATGCCAGATGATATTTAATTTTGTAAATATATATTGATAAAGTGTAACTACATTTTTTGCATGTGACAAAATGATGCATAATCATGGGTAAAAAACAGTGATTGAGATCATTATGTTTTTGTATTAAAACTTATAATAAAAGCTAGAACACTTTAATATATTTTAGAAAAGTTAAAAAAGAATCAAATGACATCTAAAATTCCAATTCTAGGAATCGCTGCCAATGTCAGACAAAATCGCTGAGTTGATCCCGGAAGTTCCTGTCGTGCCCGAGCTAAAAGCTGAAACGGTACGTAGCTGACGTTAGAGATATTTTTTTTTAAAGATTATTAGCCCCTATATGTGCGTCCAGTTGTGGCCGGCGCGAGCTGACGCTGTGTCTGTTGCAGGAGTCGGCGGTGGTGGCGGCGCAGTAGGCGGCGGCGGCGGCACGCGGTGTCTTTGAAAATGAGCCTTTAATTTATTTCTGTTTAGTACTACGGTGTGATATCGAACCTAGTTCGATTGCTAATTTTACATTGTCAAAGATGTGGATTTCGGTTCCAAATGTGACTCCATATAGAAGATTGTAGTATAAGTTTAGCGTGCTTTTGCTTTTGTAAAATTAAGATTTTATACATTTTTATTCGCTAGGATCGAGTTTTTTTATAATTATATACAGTAAAAGTTATATAGACAGTATACGGTGCGATAAGTTGGTGCCATTATTACAGGGGTTAGTTTGTCGTCGCATGTTGTTCGCTCTTAAATTACGAATTGTTCATTTCGAAATATGTTATTAATTGTTCAGCGATTGATAATTTATTTTCAAAATGTGGCGTAGCAATATCTCCCCTTAGGATATTTTAGAATATATTGGGTTCATTATATTTATCACAAACTTGAAAATTCGACATCTCAGTTAGTTATTATGCGTTTCGGGCAAAGTCCGTATCAGGGTTGAGTTGAAAAGCAAATAACGTGACAGTACATACAGTATTGACAGTTTCCGCTAGTTGTAAGTCAAGGTAAAAGACAAAGCAATACGTATGTTCATTGAATGTTTTCAATGCGTACTGTTCACTGAGATATCAAACCCTGCGATTTCGTAGTTCTTTTTTAAATGTCTAATTATGCTGTATGAAATGGCACCGCAATATGTCGATGCACACCAAGTGCAGCCCTTCTAATTATGCGAATATCTTTAAAACCTTATTAATATTATGAGCCCAGAAATTGATTGATGGATGTTTTAAAGAGCTGGCCACGCGAGGCGGCTGTTGTAAATAATTGCACAAGCTATGTGCATGGAGACTATGATTCATACGCCCACCCGGGAGATGTTAGGCTTTTTGGTTGGAAAAGCTGATAACATGAGTTTATATTTTCACTAGTATTGAATACCACTGGACGATGATACTCGTATCATCGGCTTTAAGTAGTTCAAGGACTTATTATAATGTATATATGAATAATTGAGTATTTTCTGTTACTTTTATGTCAAATATTTGATATTAAATTTGTATTCTGTAAATTGTTAAAATGAAGAAAAACATCAATTTAATTTTATCTCATTGTGTTAATTAATTTTTCTTTTGCAGTTTTACGGATTTAATTTTATTCATTTCTTATGAATATTGATAAGTTGTATAAATTAAGATTTTTATTAATTGGCTCTCTCTATGAACTCATGTAATTTAAATTAGCTGTTGGTAAGGGATTTTACGTGAGACATGTAAGGTTTGAATCTAACGAAAATCTCCAAGTAAGTCATCGTGTCAATTTGGCGACGGATGAGATGACATTATAAAGTAACTATTGGATAGAAATTTTCTTACAATTTTGGACTATATCAGTGGCCAAGTTTTTTGAATAATTATTGATATACAATTTTTATGCATATACAGACATAATTATATTGTAACATTTAGATTTTGTAGCATGTGTAACAAGTTAGTAAGGCAGCTAAGTACCTACAGCTGCTAATTAGTATATCGGACTCCACCTCATACATACGATTAGATGATTCATAAGGTTTGATAATACTATACATTAATGTGTATTTTTTGTGTCCAGAAATTATGTGAGTTTCATAATCATTTTTGTAATTTTATACATTTTTTAAGAAATTTGAAGTGGCACATCTGCATGACTGGGGAAAATAATGTTTAGCAGTAAAATGAGTGAGACATTCCATATCAAATGCTGAAGAACATGTACATTAATCCAATGTTTGCTAGTAGCCGTTTCTCAGCGCCTGATAGTTGGACTTAGCTTTAGTAATTTAATGAATTATAACTTTATTTAAATAAATCTGATGTGTGTAATAAAACATGAGTGTTTTCCTCATGCTAACATGTATTAAGTAATATCATTTTTAATTTATGTTTAATGAATTAATGTCCAAGCATTATGATTCCTCGGTAGCTCCAGCATTCTGTATTATTTGTTTGTGATGTCCTCCTTAGGTATCTGAGATGATTGTGTAAACATAATTTTGCTCACTATAGCTATTTAAAATTGTATATGATAAAATATATGTTATTCCAATTTTATTAAACTTGATGTTGATGTGTGAATGTCTCTAATCAATAAATTTTAAAATTCAAAACAGCTTGTTTTGTTAATTTGTGTTTTGTGCGGTACAGGCTTAGATTATAATATAAGCCGTGATATATGGGTCTCGATGAAACGTGTTCGATATTTTGATTTTCGATCATTTGTAATTCGATATGGTGTAGGTAACCCACTTTAACCGGCTTATTCCACTATTCCCCGTTGACAATCCCCGTCAACGGGGATTAGTGAACTTTTTCTAACGTTTCTAAAGTTCTCTAAACCCCGTTATATTAGGATTTTATTTTTGCTCCAATTGGCGTTAACGGGGAATAGTGAACAAAAAGTTCAATAATAGTGGAATAAGCCCTTTAAATTAAAAATATTTTTGAGAGATTAATAATAAAAATTGAGATTGGTTCTAGGTTTTGTGCGTAGATTTCAAATGTTTTATTTTATCTAAAAAGTGGGAAAGGGGTTTTACGGTGAATAGTAATTCCCTTTATTCATAACGGCATGCAAATTGCAAAATTTTATCAGTGGGAAATCATTTCCCATTCTTAAAAAGTGCAATACTAAATAAAACCTTAGTCCAGCAGTGGACGTCATTTGGCTGAAACGAACTAAATAAAACTGATAGCTTTCATACATTTTAATCAGAAAATAAAAAGCTTATTAGGCTTTTTCATTGAAAAAGTGGTGCAGTCCTGTTGTCTCCCCTGCTTGGCCCCCCTGGGGGAGCCAACAGGATTTCGAAATCCTGTTGTCCCCCCTGGCTAGGGGAGACAACAGGACTAGATTTTTAATCAATGATTTGAGGACTGTTGTCCCCCCTGGCAAAAATGATTTAAAAGCCATAAATTTTTATAACATTTAAGAAGGACTGGAGTACCTGAATGAATGCCAAATTGCCAAACTGAATACCTAAACGTATGTCAAATAATAATATCGCACGTTCATAATCAAACTGTCACTATACAAAAAAGTCGATTTTTCAGGAAAAGCATTTGAAATACTCAAATTTTAAAACCTTTGCAAAGTGTGCTAAATGTTCTTAAATGTTTTGTTTTTTGTTATATACCAGTAGTGGCTTGTTTGGCTTTTACGGGAATATAATTATCTTTCAAATTATCATAATGGTTTATTTAATATTTAATTTTTTCCCTAAAAATAGTGTCACTTTTCCACTAAAATTGAGACAGTGACAGTTTTCAATTAAAAACATGTTAATGTTGTATTATTAATTCCGGTAGAAATGTCACTATTTTCATATAAATTTGATGATGAAAGATTAAAAAATGATTATTATTAAATAAAACTAACATAGAAAAATCAGTAATTTTAATGAACTTAAAACTTTATAATTTGGATTAAGTGGTACCTATGGTAACAGTAATAAATGTAAATTCTCGATCAGAAATAAATACGTTACACACATGAAATTACTATAAAATTACATCACATAAATCAACTTCTTAAAAAATAAGGTACTCTTTTGTTCCGGCAGCCTTTAAACAACAAGAACTTGATGACCTCGATGAACTTGACGAACTAGATAGTGATTTTTCATGGGAAAAGGGCTCAGAGAAGTAGGTTTTAATTCTGGATCATTATCCAGCGGCCATTACCTCTGCGAGCTATGTGCCCCGGCCACTGCCACTTGATTTTAGCGATTCTGCGGGCTATGTCGGTCACTTTGGTTCTCCTGTGGATCTCCTCATTTCTGATTCCATCACGTAGGGAAACTAACTGAGCATCGCACGCTCCATCACCTTTTGGGTGACCTCTCAGATCCATAAAATATCACTGGCAACACACACTGATCAAAGACTTTTGTCTTGAGGCACTACGGTATTTCGGACGTGAGAATATCATTAAGCTTCCCGAACGCTGCCCAGCCGAGTTGGATTGACGATTGACCTTTTTCTCGAAGTTGGACCTACGTAACTGGACTGTTCGTCCCAGGTAGACATAAATTGTCAACAAACTTTCGAGAGTAGAGTCTCCAGATGAGTGGATACTACATGGACATTTAGGCCATCGACTTAGGCCATCGAGCATTATGCCTAGATCTTCCACAGTCTCAGCCATGATTACGACATCGTCCGCAAATCGAAGGTGGATGATATACTCGTTGATATTTATGCTGAATCCGCTCCAGTCCAGAAGCTTGAAAACATCTTCCAGGGCGGTGTTGAACAGTATCACGAATCATGGATATACGCGTACGAACCCGAAACAAAAAACCAGTCACGAGTTTGGGTGTTCGAAAATGAATTAAAGCCAACAAAAATTGTTCGTTCACGGAGTGTTGCAAAAAAAATGGTGGCCACGTTTGTCTCCAAAACCGGCCATGTTGCGACTATTCCTCTTGGGGGACAAAGAACGGTTAATGCAGATTAGTATGCTAGCATTTGTTTGCCACAGGTCGTTTCTGAACTCCGTAAAGAGAACTGCAACCGCCGCATCATCCTCCATCACGACAATGCGAGTTCTCACACCGCGCACTGAACAAAAGAGTTTTTAGAGCAAGAAAACATAGGATTATTAGTCCATCCGCCGTACAGCCCCGACCTAAGCCCTAATGATTTCTATACTTTCCCTAAAATTAAGAATAAATTGCGTGGTCAGAGATTTTCATCACCTGAAGAAGCTGTGGAAGCCTACAAAACGGCCATTTTGGAGACCCAAACTTCCGAATGCAATGGTTGCTTCAATGATTGGTTTCGTGTATGGAAAAATGTGTCAAAGTTCGCGGAGAATACTTTAAAAAGCAATAAATACATTTTTAAATAGTAATGTTGTTTCACTTCCTTGATTCCCGAAATTTTCAGTGCCGCCCTCGTAAGTTTTTATTTTGATCACAATGTTAATCGAGGCAAAAACATTGCAGCTATACTAATATTATAAATGTGAAAGTAACTTTGTCTTGCTTTCACGCCTAAACCACTGAACCGATTTTGATGAAAGGGTTATGCCCACTTAGTATGGGACCTTTGGCCTGAGGTGGACAGACATTACAGCATGTAATTTGTTATTTATTAAATAGTCTATACCAGTAAGAAACAGAATATAAATATCATTTTGTATCCAAGTCCTTAAAAAATTTTTTTTTTGCTTAACCTTTAACCGACGAGGTGCGGTCTCACAGACCGCTCCGGTTTTTGAAATTTCTGGATTGCAATGTTCTACTTACTCCCGTGTCCCGAGCGTCTCAGTACCTTCGAGTTTAGTTGCCCAAACGCCATTACAGGTAGTGGTTACATCGACGAGGGCAGTTTTAATAAGATAATTCGTTTTAAAGTTCAACAGCGGTCTGTGGGACCGCACGTCGCAGACTACGTGACATTTTTGTACCATACTGAAACTGGGTTTTTGTTTTAGGCGACTAATTTTTCGTAAAAATGATGGATCCTGGGCCACCACAACCTAGGAAAAGACATTTCCTAATGATATATTGATATTTGAACATGATATTATGTAAAAGATGGTAGTCTGTAAAAAATACCGCGAAACGGGTGGTAAAGCAAACAGTGACATGTATTCTAGGCTCTGCATGCCAAATCAGCCTGATGTCATTGCACCAGCTGCAAAAAAGACGTACATTTTAGTCCATCTAAATTGAAAACAAATTACAACTTACAGGTGTTACCTATGCATTCCGAAAATGCTTGGCATGTAGTAAAAAAAATGACCTGATTTTGCCTGATGTTTACCCTACGTCAATTTTTTTTGTGCATGTAATGTACGTGTCATTTATTTTTATTTTATTCATTATGTTCACTATATTTAGGAAGGAGTATAGTTTTTCTTGCTTTGATTAAAATTTACAAGTTATATAGGTATTATTGAGCTCTAGTGTAATTTCAATGAAATTAAGGGTCAAAAAAGTTTTAGTCATATTCGTACAAGCCTTTCAACACTTCGATGTATCTATAGTCAATTTGGCACCGTTGGAGAGACTGTAGCACTGCTCAGATCTCGATCGAATCCAAGGCACTTTCATTTCTTTATAGTTACTTTTGTGAAGCCTCAATGTAACCTTGTTGGTGATCGAATAAATAAATAAATAGTCCACAAACGCTAGATAAAGTAGTAATTACCTTGATAATTTCTTTTATTTTACTAGTGTTTGGATTGACTGGTGGCATTTTTGTTAGCTTTTAAAAAAAAATAACTACTTAATCATTTAAAAATCTTTCTTGTTGTTTTAATTAATATTACACAATTCGGATAAACACAATATTCTACGAAATGATGGAACAATCTTCTTAAAAATGTAAGAGAAATATTGTCATTTTTTGTTTTAAGGCGTTTTTCGTATTACTTTATTGTGACTTATCTTAATGATTTGGAGTAAAAGCGTCTTTATGCTAAAAATGACGTTTTTCAACACAGAGTCCACATAACTATCACGGCGTGCCCGTCCAGTTCCCGTCACTACTAAAAACGTGTCACTGTTACTCACAACATATGCCGGTTTCCCCATTAAACTCCATAACGACACTAGTGATATCTGCCGAACTATTTGAGTTTTAAGCGTGGGATTTTTACAGCATGCACTTTTCGCGGAGCTCTGATAGATGGTGTTGTTAACTCAATTTCTCCCAATTTCGTATAGTGACGGTTTGATTATGAACGTGCGATATAATTAACATTTGGATAACGAAAAAAATATAAGTTCTTGGTACCGGTACTATTTTAGGCTATTTCAAAATCTGCTTTACTTGCTTTTAACAGATCGTTTTGAATTATCCCTACTAAATAATATTATAAATGCGAAAGTAACTTTATCTGTCTGTTTGTTACGAATTCACGCCTAAACCATTGAACCGATTTTGATATTTAGATAGTTTTGAGTCCTGGGAAAAGTCATTGGACAGTTTTTATCCCGGTTTTTGAAACAGTGATGCGCTCTATATTTTTTCTGTGACAGACAAAATTTTACACGCACAAAGCCGTAGGCAAAAGCTAAGTAGGTACCTCTATTATGCTATTCTCATGTATAAAAAATATTATCTAC